TCAAGATGGTGGCTAATTATTCGAGGAGCCCAGCGTCTTGTTCAACAACAAATCGGCCTTCATGCGCTCAAGACTCTCTACGAAGCTAAAGGCTTCGATCCTGACAAGCTCAGGGACGCGCGACGCAAAGTGCTGCGCGGGTTGGTGTTTCTCTTGACCTTGGATTGCTTGATTGCCTTTTTGGTCGTGTTGCTTGGCCTTGTCATGGTTGAATTTTGAATGTGCAATCGCAAGTTTGGCCCTGGGTTGTGATTGTGCTGCCGCCTCCATGCCGGCTGTCGGCCAGGTCAAGCTCCCGCAGCGCGCGCGGCCAAAAACCGCAGCACCCGGACGGCACAGTCCAGACTGCCAGTCAAGTCACCTTGGAGCAGTTCCCTTCCTTCATCAGTGGCAGTGATGTTCAGCTTTTTGCTCAGGCTCATGCGGCCATTCATCGTGATAATGTAGGTCAACATGCCTCATCTTCAGCTCATTCTCACACTCTTCAAGTCATCACGAACCCGACAGTCGTCCAGGTCTAGTTCCGCGACGCCAGCAGAGGGCGCGTCTGACTCCGGCTTCTTCCCCCCAACTCGACAACGCCGATGACGAGACAATTGCGGTCAACTGGACCGTCGTCGCCCAGACGACCGCGACACCGTCGACCTGCGCTCCCATCCCGGCCTCCCACCTCTACCAGTTCGCCTCCGGTTCAGCTTCTCAACTTGAGGCGCACTATGACAGTCATGTGTCCAAGTTGAGGTCTGTTTGTGACGTTTGGGAGATCGCGGTCCGCACCAATGACGTCCAATATTACATGCTGCCAAGCATGGCCAACTTGGTCTTTCATGAAGATGGGCGCTGGGAGAGCCTCTACCGCAGCCTGATGCCTTTTCGGTCCGAAATTCTTGACGATTCACATCGAGCGCTTGCCATATCGGAGATTGATCCGACGCGACTTCTTGAGGGTACAGCGGGGAACTGGACTCGCGAGGTTCTCCACGACATTGCCCGAAAGTTTGACATTCGTGTCCGAGATGTTCCGTAGCAGGCGCGCGTCCAGTTGGGATTGTTGGAACAGTGCTGGCCCTACATTCGTCGAACCCATCGTGAGTTCCAGCGGTTTCAATCTAACTCCAAGAAGGACTTGTACAACAACCAGTATGGCATGTTCTTTCATTTCAATCCGCGCCGCAACCTGCCCTGCAAGGCCTCAGACAGTCAAAGCGTTCTACTGCGCGCGCAACACCGATGTGCAGGCCGTCATCAACATCCTGAAGCACGACGAACTCATTCGCCCATCAAATGGCTCGCTCAGCCTTCACGCAACAATGACTTCAGCAATTGGAATGATGTGTGGGTTCCACCGATAGGGTTTGCACAGTTCAAACAGGACCACTGCTTGGTGCCTAAAGGCCCACGTACAAATCCATTGCTTCTTACATGAAGAAGAACACTGAGGAAGTGAAGCAAGCTGGTTTTTTAGTGTTGGTTGTTTTAGACTGGCGTGTCTTGCTTGGTTTTTTGCCTGTTCTTGCAGACATGATGGATCAAAGTGTGCAGACCCTTGTTACTTGGACGCATGGAAGACATCCTTCTTGGCTACAATGCCACGCGCCTGATGCACTCCAACCTCTTCCCCACGTCCTCCACCTCCTACGCAGACCTTGCTAGGTCATCGAGAGCTACCAACCACCACCTCCTCCACCTCCACCTCCACCACCACTATTGCCCACATGCAGACTGTGGACTCCAGCACAAAGCAGCCCGTCTCCCGCTGCTGGGAATGCACACTGTCCATCAAGGAGTTCCATGTCTTCTCGCCCTTGCCAACGCGGACTAGTACCAACACAGGAAGGGTTTGACGTTGCACAAATACCAAGTTGACTGGCCGCGTGTGACAGTTGGAGGCACCACTCCCGACTCTTTGACGCAACCCGTTTCCCATGCCACTTTTTGCACCTGGCACTACCGGGACTGGAACACTCCAGGCAACAGCTGGGACACTCGAGGATTCGCTTGGTGTCGCCTGCTCTGCTTCTGTCAGGACCTCAAACTATACATGCGAATGGGTCAACGGGGCCCTTATCGGCGTCATCCTTGGCTTGCGATGGAGCGTGGAGAAGTCCGTCACCACCTACTTTTAGCTCGGCCTTTCAACAAGGACAACCTCAACCTCCCTTTGACTGGGATGCCGAGTGGCTGTGTGCGCATTTTCTGGGTGGTGTAATCAGTCCGACTTCTTGCACCTTGCCTTGCTTGAGTTGCCTTGCGTTGTTTTTGTCACTTCACTTGTGGGTTGGTGGATTATTTGCCTTGATATGTGCTTGAGTGTACTGATGCGGATCCATCTTCTTCTGCAGCTGTTTTCATCAGATTTGACTTGAATATGACCTTCTGTGTCTGCCCTGATCCTCAACATCCGGATGCTCAATGGCTTAAAGTTAATCATCCTGGTCCCTGGATGCCAGGTGGCTTCGGTGATAATCGGCCGCCACAATTTGCCCACAGAGGCCGGAAGAAGTTTCCAAAACAAACTTAGGCTGCTGACGGAAACCCTATCACGGTGCATTCGTGGCACAGGCGTGACTGGGTCACAGAAGGGTTTCGCCGCATTGCACCAGACTAAATGCAAGCATCATTGCCACGATCAGCATCGACATGCCGCCACACAATCTACCAATGTGAGCGTGGAAGTTCTCCTCAGGTTTTTCGAAGCGATGCTCCAATCCACTGATGCAGCGGGCTTTTCCTTTGATGACCTGACGCGACTTCACGATTGTGTTCGGAAACAGCCTGAAGCGGCGGTGCGTGACAACCAGTCTATCCCTCATTCTCCTCCAGCTGGTGATGATATCTTGCCGTCTCAGCCGTCCAAGAGCACGTCATCAGCGCCGGGCGTGATCAATCACGCCTATCGCCCGCCTGACAGTGTCTCTCTTGTCACCAAGTCTGTTTTTGATGATGGCATTGAGTGACTCATTGTTCACATTGATGGTCAAAAAGTTTTCTCTTTCACAAGGCATGACCAGTGAGTGTTTTGTCTCATACTTGCGTTGTCCTTTGCTCTTGGTTGACTCAGCTGTTGAGGTATTGGTGTAGCATCAGGCTCCTGCAATGGATGTGGAACGTGATCGATTCGGCAAGGTTGGTTGGAGTACTCCCAACGGCATGGTCAAGAATGGGTCAAGATCTTTGTGCCTGGAGAAGATCAAGTTTGGTACCAGAATGATGCCATACCGTTTCTGATGGGCAACCTCAACATGATGACATGATGAATGGCCACAACAAGCCCCGACATACGAAGCTTGGACCGTCCAGGATTGGCATTGTCAAGGTTACCGCGCGCGCGTGGAGTCCTTTGCTCTCCATCAGTTTGGCGCTCAAGACAGCACGGACAGCGACCCCCTTGTCAACTCCATGCACAGTGACGTTCTCGATGCTCCATCTGTCGTCACGCAACACGGTGACAGTTCTTTTACCCAACTCATCAGCAGTCTTCAGCCTTTTTTGAACAATGGCAGCCGGACGCCCTTGCAGGAACTCCGACCTATGCACATTACGGTGACCCTTGGGCCCCGTCTTCTGAGCGTACTTGCAAGGGCCATGTTGCTTCACATTCCCCACGCCGCGCAGGGCCTTTTGGGCGACAATAGGATCTCTTCGCCTGGCTTCTTCCAAGAAAAGTTGCTCGCCCTTCATGGAGGGTGTGCGGAGTGTCAGATTACCCCTGACACCACTTTTCACCTTGGACACGTTTCTCTTTCGGTTGCGGCATGCGGCGCGGGCAGCATTGAAGGGACCTGCGCCAACGGAGACGCCCTTCTTTGCTGGTGAAATCCAACGGGGCGCCGTTGGACGTACCCGTTTGGTCCCCTCCCTGATCCGCTGTTGCTTCCTTGATTCCCTGCTCAAGTAACTAGAGGGAAGCTTCACTGCAATGCCAGCTGCCTTCAAGTCCGTCTCGCCTTGTGCTCGAAAATCATTCCACTCGAAACTTATATCTTGCGCTCGATAGAAGAGATCTCTCCTTCGGGGGTTGAAGTGTGTCTTTGTGTTTCTGTGTGTGTGTGTGTGTCTTTGTGTTTCTGTGTGTGTGTGTGTGTCTGTGTGTGTGTGTCTGTGTGTTTGTCTGTGTGTCTGTGTCTGCGTGTGTCTGTGTCTGTGTGTGTGTGTCTGTGTGTCTGTGTGTGTCTGTGTCTGTGTCTGTGTGTGTGTGTGTCTGTGTCTGTGTCTGTGTCTGTGTCTGTGTCTGTGTGTGTGCATGTGCATGTGTGTGTGGGTATCTATATATATACACATATATGTGTGTGTCTGTGTGTGTGCGGAGTGTCAGATTAACGGCGCGGCATTGAAGGAACCTGCGCCAACGAAGACGCCCTTCTTTGCTGGCGAAATCCAACGGGACGCTGTTGGACGTACCTGCAGTTGTGATGTTTGTGAATGTCCTTTTGGTCCCCTCCCTGATCCGCTGTTGCTTCCTTGATTCCCTGTTCAAGTAACTAGGGTGAAGCTTCACTGCAATGCCAGCTGCCTTCAAGTCCGTCTCGCCTTGTAGATGAGATCTCTCCTTCGGGAGTTGAAGTGTGTCTTTGTGTTTCTGTGTTTTTTCGCGTGTCTCGTGTTTCTCTGTTTGTCTGCTTTTTGTGTTTGTGTGTTTGTGGGTTTGTGTGTTTGTGTGTTTGTGCGTTTGTGCCTTTGTGCCTTTGTGCCTTTGTGCCTTTGCGCCTTTGTGCGTGTGTTCGTTTGTGCGTTTGTGCGTTTGTGCGTTTGTGTTGTTTGTGTGTTTGTGCCTTTGCGCCTTTGTGCCTTTGTGCCTCTGTGCCTTTGTGCCTTTGTGCCTTTGTGCGTTTGTGCGTTTGTGCGTTTGGGTGTTTGTGCGTTTGTGCGTTTGTGTGTTTGCGTGTGTGTTGCAATTTGGTGCGTTTCAAAACGGATTGGTTGGGGTTGGCTCCTAAACGGCATGTTCTGGCGGCATTGTGGTACCCCTGGGTTGGGTCAACCCTCGCCGCGGACTCCAGGTCGGGTTTGCTTCTGGCTGCGCGCTTAGTTTTTGTCTTACTAGAGCAGCATTCTGCGGAAACTATCTGACGCCCTTCACAGCTCCCATTTCCATTAAACAAGGTGGGCCCTGATGGCCTTTGTTGTCATGTTCCCTTGTGGAATCCACACATGCTAGATCCAGGTTTGGTCAGCATGGATTTGATTCATTTAGCCAGTAACCAGGGATTTGCATTTCTCAGTTCTCAGATTATTAGATTGTTGCTGCGGCTGCTGCAAACAGGACTTTGCTTGGCCAGTCTTTTGGCGCCTTGGGTAATTCGCACAACTTGCCTCCCTTCGGGTCTAGCGGCGTTTTTGGCATCAGACCGTCACCAAGCAGCAATCGCGGAATGCTGAATTTTTCAGATCGAGCCCGTGGCCGATTGGATTGCGTATGGTGGTGTTTTGCCGCCGCACGCCACGCAGCTTTGCCAGCCCATCGATTGATTCATTGATTGTTTGGTTGCTTGCCTGATTGATTGATTGATTGATTGATTGATTGATTGATTGATTGATTGGATGAATGATTCATCCACGTCCATCCGTTCATCCATCCAACCATCCAACCAAGCGGCAATCGGTTTGCTTGTCTGCCTGGCTGTGTGGTGTATGGGTGTGTTTGTGTCTAATTATTTGTGTCCGCCCAGGCTACGTGATTGGCCGACCCAATGCAAATGCACCTGGCCCCGCTCTAAGTTTCTCATGTCGATTTGTCTCCCACCAAGAACGCCTACTTGCAGGCCCAGTACGGTAGAGGAAAGTTTGGGAACATGAAGTACAGCTCCAATGGCAAACCTCAAACCTCGTGCTTCGTTTGTGATTGTTTAGAGTGTTCGGATTTGCTTTCAGTTGCAGAATGAATTGGTACAGGCGCAACTGGGCCGAAGGACCCAGACGCCCAGGATGCAGCAGGCCTTGGAGGGATGCGCTTGCAAGCCCCCTGTTGTGAGCCACAGTCTGCCGAAGGTCAATTCATCTCCCGGAATCCTGTCCGGTGAGCCCATTTGTCCCATCCCTTGGGTGGGATCCTGCATGGCTCCCAATCAGTATTCAAAAATCGCCCGAGAGGAAAACTCGGCAAAGGTTGCTCCTTTGGTCACACGCCAAGCAGCTCCGCGGCGCCTTGACGCCTTGCGAAGCTCGCAGGTTCGCTATCTTTTGTCCTGGGCTCAGCAGTCAGACATTTTGTTGGCAGGTGAAGCAACTGGGAAATGGATAGGACGTGTGTGGCAGTCATGCTTATTATAGTATGTGTATATATAACGTTAACGGTATATATATATACATATATATATATATAGGATCTGACATTTGCCTCGAAGCCAAGCCCGAAGCATGTTGTGTGTATGTGTGTTTGTGTAAATAGTCTGCTCTGCTCATGAAGAACAGTTTGATGCTTCTGCCTATGTTGCAACCATTGTTGCTGCCGTAGCCGCATCTCAGGTTGTGGGAAATCCAGTGGCGGCGCAAGGAGCCTGCAATGTCGGGGGACCTGAGGTCGCGTCAGGCTTTGTCAAGCAAATACTGCCCAGATGTTACATTGGCCATTTTGCGACGGCCCCTAGAAATGTGTTTCAAGGTGCAGCAAGGGTTCATGCCCATCAACAATCCCGAATTGCACAGGTTGAAATGATAAGCTTCAAGGTAGAATTCGCCTGCCCGTCTCTCAAGGTGTTGCAAGATCAAGCGTCAAGTCAAAGCTATTGGGTGTTCAGGAGTTGGTCTCCATTCAAGAAATCCATTCTTGTCAACGACAAGGGCTTCTGGAAACAAGCAGCCCTGGTTCCCTCCCACGCTCTAGCACAGTCAAAGCCAGCCGGCGACTCACGCGTTTGCCCCGAGGAAAGCGCTTCTCTTGGTGAAACGAACGATGAATTCAAGATCTCATGTCTCCAAGTGGTCGCAGCATCACCTCAGAGATGAACACATTGGTCCATCAATGACAGCCAATTACAGCCCTGCATCTTCTCCATTGGCAAGGCTTTGGCTCCAAGCGATGAGCCGGGCTGCCCAGTGCAATTCGTTTGTTGGAGACAAGGGGGTGTTGAAGGCAGGTTGGGTCAGTGCGTTTCACGAGCCTGGCTTTGGGCTGACAAGAAGCTGTCTTGGAGCTTGCTAAGAAGGAGCCCCGTGGAAGCCCAAAGCGCGCTGGCGATGGTTTGAATTGTTGTGATGCGCGGCCCTTTTAATGTACTGATCAAGCCGAATATTGTACGGATCGACGTTTCTGAGAGGTCGGTTCCCACCCAGCCAGCACATACTTGTGTGCACGCGAGGCCAAAACTCCCAACTGTTTTGGCTCTGCAACAGCCTCGGCATTGGATTAACGTTTCCTTGCTGAGGCAACCAGCTGCGAGCAGTGAGGACTCGGAGACGGCCTGCAGCCCATGCAGCCGCAGTTGCAGGGCGGAAAGTCTAGACCAGTGCCAAATCTCCCGGGCTTCACTAGCTCAGAAGATGAGTTTGAGTATGGGCCAACAATTTCATCAGAGGTGGGGGGTATAGGTGGGCAAGTAAGGAAGGATGCTTCAACGCACTAGAACATTCCACTGTTTCGGAGAGCAAGATATCACAGCAAAGCCTTTTTAACTCGGGGCATGTGCAACGTGTTTTACGCCAGGACTCGCAAGTCCCCAGTCCCTCCACAGTCAGGCGGCCGTGCCGTGAAAGAGTCGACACATTCCAGTCCCCCTAAGGAACACAAGGGGCGTCTGTCATGGGAAGCCCGCTAAAGAAAAACTTGTGAGGCTTGGATTGGTCAACCAAATGGATGCGAGGTTAGTTGACAACGCTGGTCCCTAGCTCCAGTCGACTGTGAAAAAGCCATAGAAAAGAAGACGTGATCCTTGGCACAGTCTCCTGTTTGCCAAGCGAGTGTTGGCAGGGCATCAACGCGGCTTTCTGGAACTGAGCTACCCTGACAGAAAAGCTGAGAAAAAAATAGAGAGCAGAGCGCACATGTTCGGCAGTGTAGGTATACATGGTTTATTGAAAAACAAATAATTTAATATATTTAAAAAAATGGAATTCTTAAATATATAGAATTGGGAAACATAAATTTGAATTATATATAAGTTAATTAATTTAAATATATATATATATATTATAGATATTTAAAAATATATTATAATTTAAAATACAAATATAATTTAAAGAATATAATATATTGATTTGATTAAAAAACAAAACAGGTTGAATTATAATGTTTGTGCTTTTGGCGAAATGGTTTATGAGTTTGTTTATATTTTTTTTGGATTTAAAATTATTTTTATATGTATTTTATTTTTATATGGATTGTAATATAAAAATAGCAGATTTCCGCGTTATTGTGTGTTGTTTTTTTTTTGTGTGATTGATATTTTTTGTTATTGATTGTTTGTTTGTTTATTTGTTTTTTCTTGTTGTTTTCCCTCTTTTTCTTTCGATGTTTTTTTCTTTTTTTTTGTTTCTTTTTAATATATTTTTATATTATATTAACATAATTAAAAGGGAAAGAAAATAATATTAATATAATATAATTTTTTAGAAATAATATATAATTTAGTTTATTAAATGAGGGGAAAAAAATATATATTTTTTTTATATTGTTATATATGTATTATTTAAACTATAATCCGAAAATAATATAAATGAATATATTAGATATATAATATATTTTATTAACATATTAAAAAACAAAGATGTATCTAAAGAATAAGAAAACAATAAACTAAAAAAATAGATAAACCAACAAATATAAACAATAAACTAAAAAAATAGACAAACCAACAAATATAAACAAACAAAAAAACAAACGAAATAAAATTAAAAAATAAAATAAAAATAAAAATCCAGAGAAAAAATATATTATTCATAATAATACCATATCATAATTTTCCAAAATATTTAAGTAATATATTAATAATCAATTATATATCTTAAATTTACCTAATAATATATTTAATTAATTTATAATTATTAATACAAAATTAATTATTTTCAAAATAAATATCTCAAATAAAAATCATTATTACCTATTTAGTTCATAAATAATTTTATAATATATTATAAAAATTAATATATAAATTATATTAAATTTATAATCAAATATTTCTTAAAATAAAAATTTAGATTATAATTATTTCCAATAAATCAATTCCAAACAAATCTATTTCAAACAACATCAAATATATTTAAATATGTTTAATATTTATATAAAAAAATCTCTATTAAAATCAATTTAACGTAACTATCAAAATTTCAACACAAAAAACAAAAATCTAAAATATCCAAATATAAAAAAATATAATTATCGACCAATAAATAAATCAAAAAAACAAATATTAAATAACACAACACAAACAAGAAAAACAAACAAATCTATTTAAAAACACATAAACAACAAAAAAAAATAAAAACAAAAAGAAAAACAAAAAACAAGAAAAAACAAAGAGAATATACACCGAAGGTCCGACTCATAATTCCCTTCAAATTCTTGTTAACCTCAACCACACTCCATTTGCTGGAGTCCAGCAAAACACATAAGCTCAGAATTCCCACCTCTTTTGGTAACAATATCCGTTATCATAGCTAGACTCAGCACCCGTTTCGTACAAGCTCCTAGTTCATATAGGTGTTGTTAAATCACCTGCATCTCGATAACAAACCTCTCCTTTGTGAGATAATCAAAGATCGACCTAGCGTCTGTGATCGCCCGGTTTTTCAATTCCTCGGATGAGTTAGTCGATGTATGTGATTCCATGCGTTAGTTCTTCAAATGCTACTACCCTCCTTCATGTCGAAGTGAGGATCGCGAGACATCGCTTGCGTCTCCGATACAAGCGTAGAATTAATTACACAGTATATCTTAGAGCTCTTCCAGTGCAAATTGTATTTCCCAATTTCTCCATAAGTCACCCTTTCCTCATAAGCCACTCTGCAGAATTCACCTTGAGATCGGCCTCCTTACACGTTGGCATAGCTTACGTCGGTAATAACACCCAAACACAGCTCATCCTCGGCAATGTGCTGAATACGTACGTAGTTCACGTCCAGCTAATTCCTTCATTTTCTTAACGCATTTATTCAAATCAACAATATCTTCCACCGTCAATGTCTTAAGGCTCGCAGCGACCAAACTAGCGGTCCTTAACAGCCCATGTCAGAGTTCCCACCACTGCACGGGTTAGTAGGTTCCTTCAGCATAGACTTCCGTTCCCGTTCCAGCTCCACCGGAAAGAGATCATGTCGATGAGAAATCCTCCCTTCCCATCGCTTTTCAACCGCCGGCCATTAAAGGACCCACCCGCCGGGGACTCATTGAGCAAGACGAACTTCCCAAACATGAACTTCTTCCGCAACTGCTCGATGATCTGGAAGTAGGTGTCGCCACCCATACATAACAAGTCGTCCACTTCTACTATCACCAAATCTAACAGCTCCTTCTTGTAGCCATTCTCTTCTCGGTGTAAAGCGCGAAGGTGCAGGGATCCACCTTGGATTGAGAAAAGCCCAAGGACAGCAACACCTTCTTAAGACTACGTCTCCAATGTGCTGGAGCATCTCCCAAGCCATAGACTCCGGGAAGACCACCTCGTGGTTACGAAGCAAATAGTCGGCCTTCAGCTCGCTTGAGACGTTCGGACTGCATAAAGGCATTCTTCAAGTCCTCCACTTCTTGCATGCAGCCAATTACATTGCGATAGCCACATTGCTAGTGGTGACTATAGGAGTATGTCGATCTAGTAGCAGCAGATTTAGATCTCGATCTCCTCGCATATACCACCTGAATTTCTGTGTTGGGGGTTATCCCGGTTGATCTACGGGCTTCCACCTCCTAACGACTCTAGATGGTAGAATACGCGCGGCGAGGTTGGCCTCATTGAGCTGCTCCCGAATCTCGTGCGACTCCTCCACTAACGGCTTCCGTTGCTCGCACTTTGCTCCACTCTTCTCCATCGGCAACTCGCCAACCGTCCCAGTCCTCTAGTGCAATCTCCTCCTCTCGGACCTCGTCAGATCCCTTCTTCACCAAGAAGTGCAGCTCGTCGTCCTTGCCCTGCATGCAGAAATCGGTGTAGCCTCGTCACCAAATTGGAAGACCTTCTGCCACATGATATTTCTACGATCGCCAATTCCTCTTCTTAATGTACGTGCCACCTCCAAAAACCTCCATAACGTCCTCCGAACCGACTCTCCGTTTGGTGTCTTCGCCGGAGAACACGCTGCGAGGTATGTACTCCCAGTAGTCGTCTGGAGGCATGGTCTACTGCTCCTCCACCTCTCTCGGCTCGGCCGTCATGCACCACAGGCCAGTGTCAGAAGGATCCTTGTCGCTGCAGACGGGGCCTAACAGGTCCATATTTTCCAGGCTCTCCAGATGCTTCCGTAGCGGAATGGTTCATGACCGGGTTGTTCGACGGTACCGTCGCGGTAGCCTCACCACTCACCCCTCTCTCTAGCTCCTCTAACTCCTCTCCAAGCATAGACGAAGAACTTGAAGACGACGTCGTAGTAGACAATATAGAGCTACTCGAACTCGTCCCTGATAGCGCAATTTCCCGTCCTTGTAGTCGACGCCGCCCTGCAAGAGGTTCTCCTTCACGACCTTCTTCAAGATGTTCCCGCTTGGAGATGTCCTTGAAGGCTCTTTTACTAGACTTCCGCATCATTTCCACTTACAGCTCCTCGAACTCGTCGCATAACACGCCATGCGCCTCGTGCTCCACATTGGTCGCCAGTCTCACCTGCTCACAGGCACACTTCCACAATTCTCCTCGCATAGCGATCCACACACTGGGACCCTCCGTGGACACCACCACGCCAGGTCCGACCCACACAGATCGACGAAGTTCTCGAGCTTTAGGACGATCCTCCTAATCCTTGTTGCCGCGGCAAGGGAGTCCGATACACGTACACCAAGTCGCCCGCTAAGAACTCCCTCGTAGCCTTGCCGTGGATGCTTTCCGAATGGCCTCTTTTGCATTGTATCTGACGCTTCCATGGCCTTCCTCCTCATCTCCAGGATCCTTCGCACTTGCTCTCCGACACCAGCGACAACTAGCGCTGGCGCCTCTATGGCAAAGATGCAGGCCTTCCATTCCTCTAAGTTGCTTAGTGGGTCTTCTTCACGGGGCTTGAGGAAGATCAGCTTCGCCAAACCTCCATGCCGTGCTGTTCTGCCTTGCTGCCATGGGGCGCGTGCCCCAATGGTCTTATGAGCACAACTCATCTGCATGAGTCGTTTGCAAAGCTCCCGAGAAACTCCGCCTTGATCGCAGATAACGATCTGGGGTACTCCAAAAGTGCGCATCCAGCTCCTCTGAAACGCGGACCATGCGGCTGCAGAGCTCTTCGACTCCAACAGTTCCAGCATCTGATAGCAGTTTCCCCAGTCAATGATGTTCAGCACAGGATGGGCCTCCCGCTTCACTCCAGGAAAGAACACCACGTCGTCCAAGCCACAAAGACTCTGTTCCAGCTCATCTCGATGTCGTAGTCCTTTGCATTGGTGACAACGCGCGCAGCCGTTAGCCAGCGGCGCTTGAAGTCGCGCATCCTTGAGACAGTGTGTGATGGACCTGACATTCTCGCCCAAGCCCCGCGCAGGGCAAAGCTTGGCGTCCGCCCTGTGCAGCAAGTGGTGAGAGCTGCCCGACTTGCCCTGCTTGGTCTGCAAGGAATGTGCGTCAACTCCCACCACTTACTTGTCCTGGCGCAAGGCATGTAGGTGGAACGGATGGGCGTGCTACCTTTGGGCGTTGTTGCCCCTTGCAGATGTCGCACTCGAACTCCTTCTGCGCATACCTCCAAACTGGAGTTCGGGCCCTCGCCAGTCGAAGCATCCTTGCGAAATCCGCATTGGCTGGGTGTCCCATCTTGGAACGCAGCTCCTCACCATCTTCTTGTTAGTCCGGTCATGATCTTCTCCGGGTGGCTCATCTGCTGCGTGTGCCTGCTCCTCATCGCCCGCAACGGGCATCTGCCTCGATCTTGATCCAAGTTGGGGCCATCGTCCATGTCCTCCTCTTGTGCGTACACTGCAACCTCGTTTGGGTGGAAAAATCGGAGCAACACCTCCAGATAGTCGATCTGCTGTCTGGGTTCCCAAAGAACTCGACTCTGCCCCCTTTTGCCGAAAATCTGGAAAAATTCTGTGTGTTGGACGTCCTAATTGCGAAAACGCTGGAAAAACTGTGCTTTTTTGCGGGAAATATTGGGGAGCAAAGGGAAATGCAAGGAAATACAAGGAAATGAGGGGAGGAAATAGGAAATCGACATGATAGGAAAGCAGCGGGAAATGAAAGGGAAACAAAGGGGAACTGAAAGGGACATGCAAGGGACAGAATGGAAAACAAGGAGAGTGCAGGGGGAATAAGAGGGAAACGAAACACAAGGACACCAATCGGCACGACGGGAGTTGTAGGGAAATGACTCGCAACGAACGAACGGGACATACATGGAAAATGACGCGGACATACCGCGAAAGGCATGGAAGGGACATGACCAGGACGTCATGGGAAACGTGAAAAGGACATGAAGGGGAAATCAAGGGGACAGCCAGTAGTGAGATGACAGTTCAGGGTCATAAAGGGGCAGTGCCCGGACATCGAGGCAACTCAGGGGGGACGTGACGCTGCGTGGCCGAGAGAGAGAGAGAGAGAGGGAGGGAGGGAGGGAGGGAGAGAGAAGGAGAGAGGGAGAGGGGGAGAGAGAGAGAGAGAGAGAGAGAGAGAGAGAGAGCGAGACACAGAGAGTGAGAAAGAGTGAGAGAGAGAGAGAGACAGAGACAGAGCCAGAGACAGAGCCAGAATCAGAGAAACAGAAAAAGAGACAGACAGAGAGAGAGAGAGAGAGAGAGAGAGAGAGAGACAGAGAGAGAGAGAGAGAGAAAGAAAGAAAGAGAGAGATTGAGAAAGAGAGACACAGAAAGGCAGAGAGAGAGAGAGAGACAGAGAGAAAGAGCGAGAAAGTGAGAGAGTAGAGAGGTTCGAGTTAGGGTACCCTTTTTCTGTAGAGGGGCGTGGACAGGAAGGAGACAGGGAGACAGAAAGAGACAGAGAAGCAGAGAGAGCGAGAGAGAGGGAGAGAGAGAGAGAGAGGGAGAGAGACAGAGAGAGAGAGAATGAGGAGAGAGAGGCTTGGGGGGATGGAGAGGATGGGGAGCAGAGGGAGGGAGAGAGGACGACAGAACACACGAGGGAGACAAGGGAGAGAGGAAGCAGGAGAAAAGGGAGAGGACAATGTCGGCGGACTGAGCCGGAGGCTCTAAAGTGAATATACTAATATATATATATATATATATTAATAATGATATTATAATGAAACTAAATAATATTGTTTTGAGAAACTATTGAAATCAAAGAATATTCAATATATAGTTTTAGATATATTATTCTGAATCATTATCTAATAAAATTTATTAATCAAATAAATATGTGTCAATTTAGTTGATTACCTGTCAATTAGGTAGTAACCACCAGCTAACTAGTTAACTAGTTTCCTTGATTTCACATGCCAAGAGAAAGAGGCAGAAAAGGCGCGCGCTTACGGGAGCATGATTCTGAGATTTTTCCCCCGCCCCCCCCAGTTCCGCCGACGCATTAGGGTATGCATGGAAATTGACTTTGTTTGATTGACATCAGGAATCCCATTCAAGAACTAGTCGATGGTGAGAATGCATTTACCGATTTCCCTAAGGCGTCAGATTGCTTTGGACGTCTCAGGAGGGCAATGGCCTGCACAGGTCGCTTTCAGTCTCTAGGAAGTGGCCAGCCCACTGTCACGCCGCAAGACTTCATTTGGGTGGTGGGGAATGCACCCAGCATAGATCATACAGTGCCAACTTGTTCCAGTTGGGGCAAGAGCAGGACCGTGGAGGTGTGGTCGCTGAGATTCAGGGCTCTCATCCACCATGACCTCTGTGCCGGCCTATCGCTGACGCTGCAGCAATGGTCCCGAGCCAGATCGCAGGATCGTCTGCGACGTCCTGAACACAGCACCGGCTGCCCACTTGGTCTGGCCAGTCGCCCTCATTTAGGTAGCGCCGTCCAGCACTTGCACATTCAGAGAATCGTCCTGTGAGCTCGACTTACCATTGGCCCTGACCCGCACCTGTAAATGCAAACTCTCTGCACACAGCATGCTCACTTACCCAGTCACCTTCGCATTGGATTGGAAGATGAATTTGGTGGAGAGGAAAACCTCGTACATTGCGGCCGTCGAGAGTTAATGCCACCAGTTGCTGGGCTACGGACAAACACGGGTGACTCAAACCTCAGCTCAGACTCGACTCGGAGTCTACAAGGCGCGTGACACTTGCGACTCTGGACAACAAACCCAAGGCTGTGGCGTGAATTCCTCCCAGCCCTTTGAAGCCCGCCCTGCGTCCAAGTCATTGCATTTGTTACTTGACAGGTTCGACGTATCTCGTGAACTTTCGAGTCCTGCAACTTGGTCGCCTGGCAGCTTGAGGCAAGTGGATGACAATTCTGGCAGAATCAACTCAGCACTCAGCCATACAAGCTTGGGCCCAGAAGTGCGGGGTTATGGCACGCCCTTGCCTGGTGCAGAGAGCTGGTGGATGCTGCCGAGACCCGCTTCCTGGACATGCACCCAATCCCAGCTATGCCCAAAGCAAGCTTTCTCAGTGCCAGACGCAGAGGCGTTGAGCTGCGCCTGGCTCTGCTTCGTCCTGACATGTTCAAGGGCCTTCAAGGGGGGTTGCACCGTTTACAAGCCGCTTAACTCCTGGATGAAGGCCCGGAAATCGTCGGGCCGGAACCTGACATGCCGAAACTCCCACTGTAATCACTGTAATCACAATGTTGATGTCCAGCGAGATTTCATGCCATCCATGCGCAGAGGCCATTTGCCAAAAAGAAATAGAGCCTTGCAACAGCCTTGGCCCGGCACGGGTCGAAGACCTCAGCTGAGGCAAAGGAGCACTGCAACACACGTCCGCGGTGCACCTGGAGGCTCTGGTGGGCCTCTGCCAGGATCGCGACCTTGGGTCACCCATCACAGGGCGAAATGAAAACTGCGTGACTCGAAGAGGCCTCTTCCATACCGACATGTGTTCCAGCCAGAATTGCAGTTCCTTTGAAGTGGACTGTGATATTTGCAGACTGCTGAGCTCAAGCAACGTTGTGTCGGTGTCAGGCTTGGCACCATTCCTTGACGCCGCGTGCAATTCTCTGGGTCTGATACAAGTGCTCCTGCAGCATGTAGAAGCCCCATGGGTCAACCTGCACCAACATCGCTCGCAAAACATGTGCTGAGCAAATCGCTCCAAAGCCAGCATGCGGCATGGCACTGTGCCCCCCACCTGACGATCCAACGGGGCTTCTTGCCGCTGCTTCAGCCACCACCTCCAAAGACATTGAAGAGCTCATGTTTCATCAGGCACACACACACACACAAACACATTGGATGAAAAGGGATGGTTCAAGGTCATGGGCGTCCAATCCCCATGCAGCCTAGACGTTCATTCCAAGCTGCCTGACATCTTCGCTGTCCGCCAGCTCATTGCCATACAGAAAATGATGCCTGGAGAGTACAGAGGGGTAGCCGATTGACAGCAAGCATCAAGAGATGTGTGTGTGTGTGTGTGTGTGTGTGTGTGTGTGTGTGTGTGTGTGTGTGTGTGTGTGTGTGTGTGTGTGTGTGTGTGTGTGTGTGTGTGTGTGTGTGTGTGTGTGTGTGTGTGTGTGTGTGTGTGTGTGTGTGTGTGTGTGTGTGTGTGTGTGTGTGTGTGTGTGTGTGTGTGTGTGTGTGTGTGTGTGTGTGTGTGTGTGTGTGTGTGTGTGTGTGTGTGTGTGTGTGTGTGTGTGTGTGTGTGTGTGTGTGTGTGTGTGTGTGTGTGTGTGTGTGTGTGTGTGTGTGTGTGTGTGTGTGTGTGTGTGTGTGTGTGTGTGTGTGTGTGTGTGTGTGTGTGTGTGTGTGTGTGTGTGTGTGTGTGTGTGTGTGTGTGTGTGTGTGTGTGTGTGTGTGTGTGTGTGTGTGTGTGTGTGTGTGTGTGTGTGTGTGTGTGTGTGTGTGTGTGTGTGTGTGTGTGTGTGTGTGTGTGTGTGTGTGTGTGTGTGTGTGTGTGTGTGTGTGTGTGTGTGTGTGTGTGTGTGTGTGTGTGTGTGTGTGTGTGTGTGTGTGTGTGTGTGTGTGTGTGTGTGTGTGTGTGTGTGTGTGTGTGTGTGTGTGTGTGTGTGTGTGTGTGTGTGTGTGTGTGTGTGTGTGTGTGTGTGTGTGTGTGTGTGTGTGTGTGTGTGTGTGTGTGCGTGTGTTTGCTTGGTTGCTTGTCTGTTTGTTTGGTTTGTTTGGTTTGTTTGGTTTGCTTGGTTTGTTTGGTTTGTTTGGTCTGTTTGGTTTGTTTGGTTTGCTTGGTTTGTTTGGTTTGGTTTCTTTGGTTTGTTTGCTTGCTTGCTTGCTTGCTTGTTTGATTGTTTGTGCTCTCCTCAAAACAGAATCCGCAACATCCTGGGGAAGCGTAGATTGCACTGCACTTGTGGCGCAGCTGCGCATTGCGCACATCTGAGGCTCCACACCGTCTCAGCCAGCTGAGGCTCCCCAGCCAACCAATCTGAAAGCGCCGGTCAAGCGCCCCGGGACCGCATGCTCTACCTGAAAACCGTGTAGTTGCCTGACCTTTCAGCAATGAGTTGCAGGACTGTGCCCTTGGTAACTAGCCCAAGAAGAAAAACAACCACTTCAGTGCTCTACCATTGACTCCGCTTCACAGTCTCTGGATGCTGCGCATGGTGTTTCCGTGCTGATCAAACTGAGGGCTCTTGAACTGGTCAGCACTGAAATACCTCCTGGATATGCAATTATTGAAGCTTCGTGGGGCATGGCAGTTGAGGTCGTTGTACTGGTTGGTCTTACTTCAGACTGCCTGAAATGTACCCTCCTGTTCATTATTGCGGAACCCACCACTGGGTCTTTTTAAGGAATAGAGTCTTCCAACAGCCCCCAGTCAGCTTCAATGGCAACGTGGACATAGAACATTTGAAAGTGGTGGAGCAACCACCAGCTGAGTGACAATCAAAACCTGGCTTTAAGGCGGCCGCAACTTTTTATGGCTGGGGCTGTCTCTTACTAACCTATAGCTACCCTGGAGTTTTGAGCAAGTGACTCAGCTGCAGCTTCGGATTGCCGAAGCTTTCGCCAGCCCTGCGGCCTGGTGCCGGGAGAAGTCCACAAAGCTCCTGCGCCACTGCGAGATCCTGCGTAACGGCAAAGGAGTCCTCCCCTGCGATCAGCCAGCAGCTAGACCCAAGTCTATGGAAAAACCAGTGGTTTGCTGGTGTGTGTTTTTGGATTTCCCTTTGAGGTGCCTCAAAATGGATCCGACATGTGTATAAAACATTGACTTCATGCGTGGGTTCGCAATGACGGTGAATCTGAACAATATGCATTTCCTTGTCAGGAAAAGGGGAGCGACTGTTACTACGGTCACTTTCAACATGTGCCATTCTAGACCTTGTCCAAAGGCCGGTGACTTGTTTCAACCAGGTTGCGGCGCTTGCTCCAAGGGCCAACACTCTCCCGAGATGCCTCGGGACTTCAAAGAAGTGCCTTCTTGAACTGGCTAACACGAGTCACACGACAGGTTTTGCCCTTTGCCACCCACGTCCTCCAAGCTCGCTGAATTCGACAGGCCGCATGATGCGTGCACGCAAGCCTAGAGAAGGACGCCAAACAGCTGGGCGCAAATGGAGTCCGATCCTGGCCTTCCATGCAGCACCTCCATCCGCAGGCGCACTGCCTCCACCTGGCAAGGCGGCAGACGAATCCGCATCGTGTCCTCCCTCAACGCCTCCAATTCTGGTGCCTCCAGCCGGGCACTCCTGACACTTCAATCGCAATTCAAATTCATCTCCATCGCAATCGTTTTTGCTTCGGGTACACTCCAATCATACAGCCTCACTGAGATTGTCCATCTGCTTGCGCTGAGGCGACAACTGGAGCACTTCTACTCTCGGCGAGTCGCTCAGGCTCACCACCTCGCACCTACACTTCTACCGTCAAAAGCAAGCCGAACAAAATTCTGGCTGCGTGAAGCCTAGCTCATCTCTTACTGGGCTGCCCTCAGATCCTCTGCTCAAAGTCCAATTTTTTTAGTGGGTTACATGGAAACTACCACTAAACTGTAAAAGCCGAAAAAGCTAAGGAACCGGATGGCTGGGAAGTCAAGACAAATTTGAGGCACGGGCTCTCTTGGAGCTGTGCCAGCCATTGTCGTTGCCCTGTCATCGTTATGGGCCCCGTGTGAGCCATGGTCAACATTAGCCTGGGAATATGAGGAGTCGCCTGGTGTTTGTGGGGGAAATCTAACAACTCCCCCATGTCCCTCCCAAATGGACCACAAATTACCAGTAATTGTTGCCAAACCTCATATCAACACAACTCGATCAGGGGCAAGGACATCTCAATGTCACACCGTGGCGCTTCAAACTCTCTCGTGCGCTCAAACAGCAAGAGCTCGCCTGGTGACCTCTCGCTTGGCGGCCTCCCTGCGAACCTGACGGCGCCTGGGCTCACAGCTCACTGGTCGGCAGCCATGCGATCATGCGACCGGCTAGCCTCCGGATGAATCGCTGCAGTCGGCGCACTGCCGTCTCCTGGCCAGATTCCAACTTGCTGCTGGAGGGGTTGCCAAATGCTGCTTCCATCTTTTTTGCGGGGCTGGACGAAGCGGTCCTCTCCGAGCGACGTCTGGCTCGGCCTTCTCCTGGCCAGCTAACATGAGCCCTCGAGCCGTACATCTCTCGCGGACCCTCTGAATCTCGCTGCGGCTGTCACCGCGATGGTCACCTTCACCTGGATGGAAAGCTAGCCCAGACTCTGAAGTTGGAAAGCTTTCCGGAAATACCGCGCTCCCCAAAACTCCAGACGTCTTGTTCCACCCACGGCACGTCTTTTCTCGGAGGTGACGAACTTGCTGGCCGTCGGGCCTGAAGCTCTGGGCAAGAGTCTCCATGGCTAAGAGAACGCTGGTCGAGTCTTCGAGTGCATGAATGAAAGCGGATCCTCCGAAACCATTGCTTTAGGTTTTCCACTACGCCAGGCCCCACTTGCCAATGTTGAAACAGAACTAAGGTCCGCTCCATGCTCACACGCCTTGGGTCCCAAAGGTAGGGCAGAGTGGCTTCGGTCCGTGTGTAAGCAAATCGTCACAGGGGGCCATAGTTGAGGTCCTCACAAGGGAATGTGCTGTCAATATTGGAGCACTAGGTAAGCCAAGTTCAAAATTTGATGTTGCTACCCAATGAGTCTACCCCTGGTTGTTGTAGGACAGTTAGAGTCCCCAAAGTCCCAAACCTTTACAGTCTACTGGAAACATCGACCAAACTTTCCAGTCGCCAGGCATGCTGATACTGTGGATGGACAAAATCCTGCACCACTTTGAAATGGGAAGCCATTGTTTGTTGGTATTTTACAGGGGAATCGAATCATTCCAGGGTTTCTTAGGTGGTGCGAAATGGATTTCGTGCATCCACAGCAGCTCGCGCGTCCAAAAGCAACTCATGGGGCTCAGGCGGTCCAGGAGAGCTTGCCTTCAGCCTGGCGCGAAGCTCTAGCTGAAGCGTCTGTCGTACGGGCGCCAGGTGCCATGCTCCACTTGTTGCTTACCAACCGTTTGGGGCATCCATCATGCGGGAACGCCTGTGCAGTGTTGTTGTGGGGCCTCTTCTTCTTGGCGGGCTCCACCAACCCCTATGGGAAACTCGCTACTTGCGGGCGACCGTGTTACCTGAACAGCATACCTAAGCGCTTCGTGTTCATCCGCTTGCACTGGCCAAGCCAGTGTTTCTCCTGATTTGGTTGATGTTTGCAAGCGCTTTGCCTAGAAGCCTTCAAGCCAAACATGTTTGCCGGCAGGCAGCTTGCTGCAACTGCGGTGTCTTGCCTACAAAACGCCTGCGCAAAGCCTGCGCAAATTCCGCAGGGATTGGCAAATTTTATTTGCTGGCGATTGCTCTTGCATGCAAGCATCCAGGGGCAAGCATCCAGGGCGCAAGCTGATAGTCACAGAAGATCTGAGCGTAACGAATACGAAGCATACGCAAGGTTTCACAGCTCAAGCAGCCAATTCATCTCTCGCACTTCCCGTACTAAGCATCGCAGGCAGGCAGTGATTGCGGAAGGCCCGGCGGTGATGCTGACCTCAACATGAATGGGTTTCTCTCGAAACTCCTTGGCGGTGGTGGCATTCAGGGGGCTTCTCAAAAAGGACCTTTTGGAGGATGTTTAGAGGGAAACCAAAAGGAAACCAGCTGCTCTTTTTTCCGGAAACCCCTTGCAACTACTTCTCTGCCAAGAGGCCTCGCAGCTCGCGGAGGTACAGCCAAACTGGCATGTGCCTCTCTCTTGCACGGATTGGAAAACGTGCGCTTGAAGTCTGGATCTCCGGATGTGCGTGCGAGGGTTGATTAATATTCCATGTAGGACCATGTGCCACTTGTTCCATTTGGGAAATATCATCTTTTTAGTCGTTTTCCCCAACGGCCTCCCATGTAAACAATCTTTTGATCCACGTCTGTCTTCATGTGCGCCTTCGCTGCGCGGCAGGGCGAAGTGCGGGCGCTGCCGCTGGGAGGCTGAAGCCTAGACCAGGTGCACAACGCACTCTCAAGAACCAAGAAGCAAGCTGCAATCACTCCAGTCGCGTGGACGCTCCATGTGCTATATTACCACTCGTCACTGTAGCGCGCGTTCAACTGCACAGCTATTAGCGTACATTGACGAGAAGTTGGTGCAGGCCGGAAAGCTTTCTGTCATTCGCTGAAGGGATTGAGCTTGATTGTCTGCGACTTGTCCTTTCCTGTTACGTGTTTGTCCAGACACAAGCCATCCTTTGTTGGCTGGCACTGTGGGCCCCTTGTTTCTTCCAGTTCATCAATGTGTGTCAGATTTGCTACAGCATCCAACTCACATGCATGTGAGCCAGTCTATGATTCAAAACTCCCGCTTGACTAGGAATGAGGCGACTCCAAGAAACACTCCAAGAAACGGGGGAGAAACCCAAGGCCGCTTTTGACCAAGCTTTGACCCAGTGGACTCGACGCCTGGTGGTCTGGAACTCAGAGATCTCGGTCTGAACCGCTTGGATGCGCTGCGTGAGCCACTCGCGCAGCTGGCTGCGAGGAGTCGCCTACGAGCCAAAGAACTGTCCCCCGTTGTACCCCGAAAAACTTAGATGCCCCACTTGAGTCGAAAATCGGTACCCATCTTGTCCTGCAGACTACATACTGACAAGGTATGCATATGTAGAAACATGTATGTATATATATATATACACATATACCTGTATATATATATATATATTCCCCCCAATGTCGACAAGTTTCTGTCTTCATTTGTTCTGCCCACTACATCTCACTGCAAATTGAAAAAGACTCTTTTCAATTTAGATTCTAAAGGGAGGAATGTGTTTTTTCAATTATCTCATAGAATTGAAGTGGAACTTAATCCGGACATACTCCCAGTAGGATTTCTAGTTTAAATGGAATCTAAGCAGGTGTTCATCTTGAATAGAATTCAAATATAAGTTCATAAGGACATAGTTATATATAGTAGAGTGTCTAGTTTATCCAACATGCAAATATGCTTTTGTTTAAATAATTTTTGTAGTTGGAATTCCTATTTCAATTAGATTGTAAAGGGGATCGCGTAGTCTAGGACTGAGTTGTTCAATGTTCTAAATGAAATCCAAATCGAAATTAACAGTGACAAATCCTAATATAATTTCTAGCTTTAAAGATGACGTAAATAGGAATTCCTTTTGGAAGAACTGGTTTAATTGTGATTCCCAGGATGTGTCTTTTCCAGTTTCTAGATATAATTTGAAATAGATGTTAATTAGGCACCCTTTTCCGCTGCTTTCGCCAAAGCACAAAAACAGGCCGGAAAAAAAAACAAAAAAAAAAAAAAAAAAAAAACACAAATACGATTGAAACCAACAAAATGGTAGACATTTGGGGGGTGGGGGGTAGCATATATATATATATATATATGGTATGTGGCCTATACATCTTAGCCTTTGGAGGCATTTGGCGGTACTCCTGCGGAGGTGCACGACAACAGCTCTTGAAAAGGATAAATACGCAGTTGGGAATGCGTAAGGATGGACCCCCTCCATGGCTGCGTTTGAGAAGGAAGTCCAAAGGCTCAAAGGCCCGCACGTTCCCGCGCTCACGCCCGGCACGTGCAGTGTGCTCCTCACCGAGCCCCAAGTTGGCACGGAGACAAATCTCAGCAATGTGGCTGTGGGTCAAAAATATGTACCCAAAATGGAACCCTGGTAAATGGAAACTTGAACTACAACCTGCGGTCCCCTGGTGGCCACACCCGTGTGAGTCATGAGCCACGCCCGGCGACCCAGCTATCTGCCTGTCTTCGCAAAGGCGAAGCGTGGAGCGAGAAAGCTGCTGGGTATGGCTGCGGCCGGCACCTAGGGCAGGCTTCAGAGCGGTCCCTCCATTTCACCCCCAGGCAATTCCGAGGTTCCGGCTGAAGGTTCCTCTCAGGCGCATTGTCCACTCCCCAAGTGTTGCCGGCATTGCATCCAAACGAATCCCGGTCCTAGGAGGAGATGCCGAGGTCTGCTGGATTCTCGCATGCGCCTGGCTCGGCGGGCAAAAGGCAGTTGGTCTCCGAGCTTGCCATGGCAAGGGCCTTCTGTGAGAGCGGCATCGCAGTCGGAGAGCTGGGACCTGCCATTTCAGCAGGCGCGTTCATGAACAACTTCTCTATGTGCGCCATCTTTGTTTTTGGCGTGTACCATAACTGCAAGTCCTGCGAAACTTCTCGCCAAGCTCATCTTGACGAACTTTCTGCCGGGCCCACGGAGAGGGACCACCGGGCGGAACCCAACGCAGGCCTGCCGCAGCATGTTGCGCTTGTCTGAAGCTCCCTCAAAAAAACAGCGGGGCTTGGGACTGTACGGTCACATCCATCACATCCTGTGATACACGAGACATTTAGTAAACTGCCAGTATGTCCGCATCACCCACCAAAGCAGTGACACCAACATTCACCCGAAGCCCGCAGCCCCAGCCTGCGAAATGGGCGGCATGGCGCACGGAACTGCTGGGCATGTGAATTCGCACCTTTCAACTCGTCGCCGTCGTTGCCTCGTGATGTCGCTGTTGGGGCCGCTCGCACCGCCTTGCTCCCTTGCGATATGGGCTTAGCCTTGAGGCGCGCAACGGACTCATGCCACACCCCCATTGCAGCCTGTGGGCTCCAAACACACATCTTAGGTCTGCAGAATCTGCACTTGGGCTGCTTTCACTGGAGCTGTTCCAATTGCAGATCAACGCCCGCTACCCGGGCTGCTGAAGCACACTTTGGCATGGATGACGCTGAATTGAGAAGGCCCACATTCCAGGGGTGCTTGTACATACCCCTTTTACATACCCCTTGGAAAAATGAACCCCAAAGGCCTGCTGATGTTCATACCCCTCTCCCCGAAAGGGGTACATACCCCTTAAAGTGGGTTGCAAACCAGGGAAGCCAAGGGGTATGAACAACGGGTTTGTACTTCCACGCTTCGACAAATGGCACCACGTGTCCCAAAGAGGAAGCGCCCTAGGCCGCCACCTCTGCTTCTCCGCGCTTCTTTCTGTGCGATACCGCGCTCTTTGAGGCCCGCGCACCGGGTGACCCAGGTGAGATGCGGATGACTCACCGGTCGAACTCTGCGCGGATTGGTGAGACCCATGGATTCTGGCCACCTGCTCTACGTTCAATGGAACCCGGCTCGGCTGCAACCCACGACTATGTCACAAGCTGAGCAGGCGGGCCAGGCCGTGCAAGCTGGAACTTCTGCGTTCCAGTTCCCGAAACTGAACAAACTTCCCACCAGGCAATGGCCCTTCAGCACTCTTTTAGTTTTCTCGGCTGGGCCGTCGCCGCCAGGTGGCAAAGCGCTTTAGCCTCAACCACGGGCCAGAGCGGCGTGCATAACCTTGCGAGTCCCTTTCGGACTCGATCTGACTCTCGCAGACCAAATGGAATTGCGCGAAGACAGAGCCTCTCGCTTTGCAAGAACAGCCAATCATTCTGTTGACCTCGGTGCACGAAACAATGCGCTCACATTTCTATTCAGGATACCCTTCATGACTCCCTTGTTGGACATTCCCGGCCTGGAGTATTCCGGCTGTTGGGGCATGCTGCTATCGTCCAGATGGTCGGTTTGCAGAGCCCGCATTTCCCTGAAAAGGTCGGGATCGATTCGGTCGAGTAAACAGGTCATCTGTAATGACATCGCACGACGGAAGCAAACACAATGGCCTGGCTGTTGAGAAGTCTGCTTGCTTGTGACATGCCCTCCTCATCTGCCGGTAACTCCTCATCCTCTGCAGGATCACATGACTTCAGCAATTGCTACTTTAGCTTGACTTGGCAGACACTATGTCCGCCGTCTCTCTCTTTCATTGACCATCGTGAACTGCCTCGTCTATGACCCGCGTGTAGTGCACGCGCCATCTTACTCCATCGCCGATGGGCCTTGATGCCTTGCATGGGAGTAGCGAGTCAAGGCAATCAACAGGTCATTGTTGCTGCCCGAACCAATAGCGAGCCTGAGTGTGGAAAGGGATCCACCACCTTGACACCCAACTGTATTCCAAAGAGAGCATGCAAAGAGGTGCACACAAGCTGAGGCATCAGCATCCATGGATTTTGCCCGAAAACTTGTTCCCAATTCCTGAAAACGAGAACACCAGTATGCTGCACAGTCGCACCTGTGACGGCGCACAGCTATGACTTGATCAATGCCTTCTCTTCTCCCACAGAAAAAGCCAAGCATGGAGTGGTGAACATGCTATGTTTCGCTTACCTCTTAGACCGGAAGTGCCGGCAAATCTGCGTTGGCTTCAATCTTCCACTGGTCCTTCGGCGTCCAATGTCAAATTTGCTCTTTGCACCCTCCTGCCGCAAAGTGCGCGATAAGTTGGTATCTACGATGCGGCAAACAGTTGTATGCCATCAGCCTCACGATCAATATTCTCAATGGTCGTGTAGTTCTCCAGAACCAGCTTGATGTGAAACCTCAGGCCATGCCATCATGCTGCCGGGCACTTTCAGCATTACATCCATTTGAGAGCAGGAAGAGTCAGGCAAGCAACTTGATGAAGTTGGTCAGGGTACAAATCAGAAACGAGGCCATGCAAAACCTGGCGAAGCTCTGCATTATTTCCCCGGCCAAACCCAACAAGGGATGCTACCGACGAAGCACTACAGTCACTTGGGGCTGGCCCCGCAACTTAACAGGACAGCTTGGCGCAATCGCCAGGATCACTGTCTCAATGCTCTCCAGGCAATAAATTGATTGCATGCCTCAGCATTTCAGGTGATGGTGAGCCCGCAACGTGACAAGTGCTGTAGAGTAGCGGGTATACATCTCTGGAATGGTGAAGAGCACAACTATGATAAGGCTCAGGTACCTGCCCAAAGCAGTGACTCACTTCACATACTTCATTCAGCTGAATGTACAGTTGGGGTACACGTAACACAGCAACTGAATGAAGAACTTGCGGTTGTAAAAGCCGACACAGTTGTTGATCCACGGGCAGTGATGGTCCTGCCGCAATGCAGTTGGAAGGTCGTGGCGGGAGTTTGAGCCGCAAGAGAATATGTTGAACTCAGCATAGCAAGCATATTAGGGTTTCTGATAGACTGATCTTGTTGGATCGGCAGCGTTGGGCTCAACATCAAGCACTGCACATGGTGGCATGGTTTGCCAAACCCTTGCAAGCAGGAAGTGGCTCCATTGCTTTTCTCCTCACGTTGCTTGCGAGTAAGATGGCTTACTTGCTCTAATGAATCGTTCGAGCTTCTCAGGCGAAGGCTCTTGAAGCTCCCCCAGCACCACCAAGGCATCTTGCCGAAACTGAGGCGCTTGCCTTTGGAGCCACCGAGCCCCTTCCTCCCCCAGCTGGAAAGCCTCCGCCAGGCGTCTCCACAACTCTGCCTCCAGATTGCCAACACCACCAGCTCCCTCGGCTCCCTCGGCTCCCTCGGCTCCCTCGGCTCCCAAGCGACTCGGCTCGCCCGGCCGCGCGAGCGCCAGGCCCTCCGCAGCGCACTTGGCGGCGGCCACCAGCCGCACGAAGTCCGCCGCGGAGATCTCCGCCGAGGCCCAGCCGCCCGCGGCCCGGCGCAGCCGCAGCGCCGCGCCCCCGCCCGGCCGCGTCCAGCGCCGCCGCGTCCGCCTCCGCCCGGCGCAGCGCCACGCGCGCCACGCGCGCCGCTTGGGACGCCCCGGACGCGCACGCCGGCGCGGCCCCCACAAAGGGCACGCTGCACCGGGCAGCGTTTTGGCTGCGCCAGGCGTAGCTGCAGAAAGCTAAGTCGCAGAGCTCGTGGTCCAGCATCATGGGTGACAAGCTGGCAAGGAACTTTGCCAGCGCAGGCAAGCGGATCAGAACACTGGAGGAACTGCTTTGCACCTCTTCTTCTGACATGGGTGAAGCTCGCCTATCAGCCACAAGCTGCTCTACCTCAGGGCATGAGCATGAATCCTAATACACTTGCCAAGTGCCAAGAACGATGCGCCTCTGTTGCCGTGCTCGCGCAGTCCACAGAAAAACCCTGCGTCATCAGCAATGATGACACGTCCTCTGACATCTCTGCAGCCTGCCAACAGTTGTGAGTCGAAGGTGCACCAATGAGGCTCCATGAAAATATGTGGTGAAGCAACAGAATATCTTTCCACTTTTTATCTGACAGGCTCATGTCCATCCTAGTGACAAGGCTCAAAAGATCGTGTAGCAATGCGGCACCTGCTGGCAAAGGTCTTCGCAGTGGCGCCGGTGCATCAGCCTGAAGTCATCCCCCTCCACTAGCGACGAGTCGACATCTGAGCATACGGCTCGTTGGCTTGCATGATGGCAACCCACATGTCGCAAACCTCACACAAAGGACTTGAACATCCACCGATTCGGGCTGCCAACCCAAAAAACTTCCGGCTGGGACGAGGACATCCCCGCCCATCTGCTGACGGGCCCTCAACGCCTGAGTCCAGCGCAACCCTTGGATCTCGGTTGAAAAGGGAAACTCAAATCCTGCAGATACACCACACAGACATTCAGGCCCCTGCAGCTTCAATGTGCCGCCACTGCCCCAAGGGTTCTTCAAGCCTCGCGCCAGGGTCATCGATGGCCCATCAGGCTCTGTACAAGGAGCTTTAGGTTCCGCCTCTCCCCCTCCCCCTGCCAAAAACAGTTGGCGAAAGGAATCACAGCTTGCTGTGCATGTCCAATATCCTCACATCACTTGCGGCTTTGTGAATCTTGTGCCAAAGACTCAGAGACTTCGAGGGAAGCCAAGCCCCCAGCTGCATCTGTGTGAGCGGCGTGCCTCTTCGGATGCACCTGCCCAGGATTCAAGCCTTCCCATGGAATCAAGGTTCCAGTCACCTGGCCATGGGTCAAAATCCAAATCGTTCCCCCAGTGAATATCCCAATCCGCACTAAAATAGACTAAAATGGGAGGTGCACCTACCCCAAAATGGGACTTCATTGGTTTTGACCAACAGCCACCTCTATGCATCGATCAAATGAAACGCAGGGCCTGGGCATCAGCTCCTCAAACAGCAGGGAGGCAGCCAACTTGATGCCGAAGTCTTGCGAGCACCAGCACACCCACAGCCTTTCCAAGACTCTGGACCACTGGAACATGATTTCTGTGTGCGCAACAAATATTCCTTGACATTCAAGCTATGATGTAGGCCTTTGTCATAAGCTCCTCACGCCCTTGGGGGCATTGTCTGCGCTATGATGGACTCCAAGCAGCGCCGCAGTGACTCCACCTCGCAACAGGACGAACCGCTCGCTCACATGCAACAGGTCACTGAGTGTCCACGTCTGACGTCTGTTTGTTCATGCTTAGCATGGTGCGCCTCGTCCTCTGACTCCAGGTGAGCCACAACAATGGCCATGATCTTGGCCGGGATGCTTGCCTTGAAATCCACGACACGATGCAATGCGAACCACAGCAATGAGCACATCGTGCGAATGCCGGCGCCTGAATCTGAGGCATCTTCTTTGCGGTGGGTCTGGCTGGCCTCCAAGCAAGCACAGGTAAACATAGATGGATCCCGGCAATGCGGAAATGCAGTGCCCAATGTTTGGCTAAATGATCGGGGCCTGGACGCAGCAACTGGGCGCTCGCCCGTGCCTCTCATAAATGCCCAGTCTCACCATGCTGGGTTGAGGGATCTGAGCATGCGGCTGCAAGGCCTGGCACGGTAGGTCGGGCTGCTTCGTTGCTTGAGCTCAGTGCCGCCTGCCTTGCGGTGGCAATGGCTGGCTCTCCCACGTTTGGCACCTGGGCAAAAGGTTAAAGTGTCAAGTTCTGTCAAGAGATCTGCGACCTCCCCAGCGTATCAACTTCCTAGCTCCCTGCCGTGCCCGAAGCCAACAGCGAGGAGAATCGTCCTGGGTGCTCTTCGCTGGGCAAGCTCTCCGCAGGCTATCTGAGTCTCATGCCAGGCTTCGGGCCCGGTCGTCGACTGGCGGAATGGCCAAAGCCCCCTTCACACTTTACACCTCCCTCACCTTCCCTCACCTTCCCACCGTTCCCTCTATCCAAGATGGATCGCCCCTTTGGGCGCAACACGCAGCACAGGACACTGGACACCGGCAAACATGCGCACCTAGCTGCGGCTGCCTCGGCTGCTGCAGCTCTCACCTTGACCTGGCATCAAGTCGAGCAGCTTCTTGGCTGGGAGCCTCTCTCTTTTGCTTCCTGCACACTGCAAAATGACCTGAACACGTTTAGGCGTGCGGGCCGAAAAACAATGCGGCAGTTGTTTGCTACATCGTTGTCCAATGCCGCATGTGCTAAGCTCAACCAGAGGGCTGTTTGCGTCTCATTCTGCACCTTATTCAGTCGGCCTTTACTGTAGTCTTCTGCAAATAAAGGCAGTGGTTCACTATAAATGCCAACCGCAAATCAGGCACGCTCCACACAACCCCTGCACAGCAGGTGGAAAGCACAAACCTCTAAGCAGAGAGAATCCTTCTGGGAGACTTGAATCATGTCAAGTCATGAGTTTTCCTTCTAGCGAGAAAGCTGGCAGTGACTTGGCCGTGCGTAAGACGCGCATGTACGAAGCTCGAAAGCATTCCCCCCCTGCAACCTCCTTGCGGTGGTCATCAGCGGCACGCCGAGCCCAGGGATGCGCATCCAGCCTCATGTTGTGGCATGAGCATTTGGGAGTGCCACTCTCCAAACGAGCTTCGGGCCACTGCTCTGCGAGCTCGATCATCTGCCGTCGCGACTCCTCCTGAATGTGGGATCTGGCACATTGGCGAGGGAGAAGAAACAAATTGGGAGAATGTGATTGCCAATGCAAGCGAAGGGGACTCATGTCCATGGTCATATGAGTCATAAGTTGTAAGCAAGAGGACAAGCAAATTCAGACCCTGTCGGTCCTTCGTCAGCTCCTTCTCAGCGGATTCGCCAATCAAAACTTGTCGCAAGGGAAGATCCTTGGTATCCGGTGCCGTGGACGGCTGCTGCGCCGCTGCTGTTGCAGCTGTGCCACAGCTGTTTAACTAATCCTGTTCGGCAAGACCCGAGGCTCAGGCTGCGTCTCTTTCTCTCATTGCGCCACAAGTGGACCAGTCTGCAACGAGATTTGTTTTAGTTACTTCTCTGTTGCAAGGCAAATGACCGGTACTGTCAGCGAAGCAATCCCACTGGCCGGCTGGCTAACATGAGAGGAAACGTTTGTCCGCAGTCAGAATCCGTCACTACAAGATAATAAGGGCCATGCACAAAAACCTGATGCCTCAGTATCACCTTGACAGGATTCCTGGAGCTTGAGCAGCAGATTAGCTGTAGTGCGCGAAAGAATGATCCATCTGTCTCTTGCAAGTCAGGCCATACCGCAAGCAATCAGCAAGGTGCAGGCAGTCCATGTTCAGGATACAGCGGTTGCAAATGCTACCTGAGCTTGATAACCCAAGCCTAGCGTCAAGCTACCACGATGCAGCTTCAATGTGTGTATGGTGAGAAAGATGCATGTTGAGGGTTCCACTTCTTGACTACCCCAGGGTAGACTTAAACCCGGGATGGTTCCTTACCCCCGAAAGGAGCAAAAGGAGAAGCGTCTATCTTGATCCAGTCAACAAGGTGGAACCCGGCGCGTGTCTGTGGTACGGCCATCCATTCGCCAGATCTCTCGCCGGGTTGCAGTGATGTGTCCGATCCGGCTTCCAAACCTGAGATTTGTGCATGCCCAAATTTGGGTGTATCCTTTTTTAGGGGACCACCTAACATGGTGGTTGTCCTTTTGGTGTCCCTTTCAAACCACCAAATGTGGGCCAAAGAAGAGTCCTGGGCTCCATGCATTGCACATCTTGCAGTACCTGCCAACAGATTGGTTTGCTCCGCAAGGTTGTTTTTTTCACGCCTTCTTCTCTTGGTCTCGTCCCCCATGTAGAAGCCCCAGTTGGGAGGCACTACACCCGGATCCGTCATGACGCACCTTGTGTCAATCCGCTGGGACTCTTTCGGCCTGTTTTTGTTCAGGATTTGGAAGCATGGGACGAGTGCTTGATCTGAGTCTTATCAATTCCCAGGCTTCAATGCTGATGGTTGCCCTCTCTGAAACTCCAATTTTATGTGTCTGCCATATTGTGGCGATTGCTTCACCTCCAAACAAATCAGTTCCCAATCGTCCGAAAGCTCTTTGCGAAGCAGCGTACAGTCTGGGCTCCGGGCTGATAGAAGGACGCAAGAAGGTTCACAAAAAAGATATGGTACACAAACAGCACTGCTGCCGCCCCCGGCTCCTGCGTGGGATCTGCATGTGTGCCTCACAGCCTTCTTTCGTTTTTCTTTCTTTCTTTCTTTCTTTCTTTCTTTCTTTCTTTCTTTCTTTCGTTGATTCTCTCTCTCTCTCTCTCTCCCGTCTCGCTGAATCTCAGTGCAAAGAACGATGCTTCATTTTGTTACCTGTGCATTTAACTTCTGCACCGATTCGACACGCAGCATTGCAGAAGACTTTATCAATCAGGTTCACCGGCAGCTGCACAACTTCGCACATTTCTTGTTAGCAACGTGTGTGGTGTTGAAACTCGCTCTGGGCCTCATCTTACAGCGCAGTGAACCAGAATGGCATCTGCAGCACGTTTCCGTGCCTTCCTAAAAGGCATTCGAGCGCTCACGAGCCGGCACTCGCAATCTCGTTGCACCTGCCATCTGCAAAGGTGCGGGGCCAACCACCAATTCCACAAAGTGGCGGCACGCACAGCCAACATGTCCAACGTGTGCATGGAAACAAATTGCCTCGTTCATTCATATCACTCACCTAATGTTGGACAAGACACAGGATTACATGGAAAGAAGAGTGTGACCAACCGTTCATTGCTTGCCATTGGCTCACCATCATTCACGGTTATAATTCCCTTTAGTCACACCTTTCCATATCTATTCCTGTCCCTTCTTTCCTCCTTACCATCCCTTTTCCCTTGTCTCGTCTCCATGCATTCCCAATCCGTTCGTTTCCTCATGTCATCTCACTCTGGAATGCATTAGAGGACAAGGAATAGAAAGGAGAGGCAAGCCATTATATTTCTCTCACCATATCCTTCCACGGGCCAACAAAACCTTCAGGCGAAACTCGCCAGGCGCAGCGCGCTTTTTTCCTCACAGAAGTTTGGAGGGCACGCCGGCGCTCCGCAGCAGCTCCCGGAGGAAGTCCTGGCAAAATCGACGGCGCGTACAAGGCGAGAGGATGTCTGTTTGAAGATGCCGTGGCAAGGACATCAACCGATTTGTGGACCCCTCCCCCCACATTTTGAGGCAAGTCTTTCTTGGTCAACCGTCGAAGCCATGCTTGCGTGCAATGGACTCCAAACATGCTCGAACAGCCTGTTCGATCCATTGATGGCTTAAATTGCTGGGCAGGCCGCAAAGAAATGATTGATCACCGTTTTGGGGAACTTCCAGTTTAAGGTGGAACAGCGGGACAAACCGCTGAACGACCTGCCTGCGTGCTGAAAGGATTAGGACAGCTAACCCATGAAACTCACAGACTCACTGCTCATGCTTGACTGTTCACCATGCACCAAAGGACTCCTTCCCCTTTTGGCTGCCCCTCCCGCCCCTCCCGCCACTCAACTAAATCCCCTTCTTTGGCATGGACCCAGGCGTGCGAGAAGCCGCAAGCGAGCACCGGCCGCACCCGCTTCTCTCTGGTGTCACCCAGACTGCGCCAAAAGTCTTCAGGCACCACCTCAGAGCTTGAACCACAGCGGCTCCTGCGCTATGCCCAGTGACTAAGGCACAAGCCGCGATCCGGAAGCCGTGCCTGAATCTGAGGGCCAACTGCCAGCCACAGGCTTCACTCTGCAAAGCAGCATTTCACCATCTACCTTCTCCCAGACCGACTGCAATTGGGAGCCAGGCTTCTGCAGCAAGTAGCGCTTAAGCAGCACCGGGCCTCGTACCTCTCGACCGCTCAAAGCGCTCTCGCTCGGCCCGCAACACAAGGCGCGGCTCAGCGCCCGGCCCTGGAGATCTGCGAAGGTGAGGGCCCTGTGAGATCCAACCTCGGCCATCAGACGCTCGGCTGGCCAGCTGGCCAGCTGGCCGGAGGCCCGGAGGCCGCTGCGTTTTCATCAAGGAGTGGGAGCCATCCACCTGAGGTCTCCGTGAGTCATGGAGTGAATATGGAGAACCCAAGCCTCAATGAAAACGATTGGCTTGGAGGCTCTCTTGGCAGTCACGGCAATGTCCACAGCCATCCCAAGCCTGAGTGCCCAAAAAATTCACCCCGGATCATTCTACGAGCTGTCATCTGGCTTGTCTTCTTCTTCCAACTACCAGCTCTGGTCCCTTGGCAATTCCCAAGTCACCACAAGCTCGGAAGGTTTGGTTCTTTCTCAGGGTCGGCCGACTCAAGCCCAAAGAAGCCTCAAGCCGACAGCTGAGACAGCCGCTCTGTTTGGTGTTGCCGCGACACAGAGCCAATGACCACTTTCTGAAGGCACTCACCGATGTCCTTGCATGTATCAACCCTCTGAGATGTATCAACCCTCTGGGATGCACTCAGCAGTGACCAATCCAAAAATCATAAAAAGGCCACCTTGCCCAATCACTCATCAAAAACCAGACTCCAACCTGCCTCCAATCACCCAAGTATCAGGGCACGGCTTTTGGACACATTCGCAGGGCTGTGCAGCTGCTGATGCGGACCCTATACAGACACTGCGCTCAGGATGGGAGTTGTCTCAGAGGGCATAGCCTTCAGGAACCTGCTGGCTTGTTGAAGCCACCTTGGTCGGTCCAATTGTTGGATTTGCAACCCGCACAGCAACCAGCTCATGAAGCACCTCTGCAAACCAGCTAGCTTCTCTTCCTACATGTGTGTAAAATACCAGGCCAGCACTCGAACATCAATACTAGTAGGGCTGCCCTACGACTTGCATCCTAGATGCCGTCCAGACAAGAAGGCCGCAATCATGAGGCCAACAGCGGAGGCCACAAAGACCAGCTTGTGCAAGTGCGACTCTGTGGAGGCCCGAGACTTCTTGGAAACATGCGAGTGCAGCGGGAGCGGGGCCAGTGCCCTCTTGGCACTCTTGAGTGCTTGCTCCTCCAAGTTCTGGTAAGAGGACCTGGACTTCTCGTATTCGCTCCTCAGCTCATCGCACGCCTTCCCCTGACAGTCTTGAAACCGCCTCAGATACTTCTGGTCGGCTTCCGCCAGCTGCGCCTCCCTCGCCGAGGCCGCAGCCAGCATCGCCACCGCCTTCCTCGCCGCGTCCGGGTCCGCACTACAGCGCAGCAGCAGGCTCGAAACGAGCCACGCGAGCAGCTTCATGGCTGCTCAATGCCCTCGGATCTGTCGGCTTTTGATGTCAAGATCTGCTTTCTGAAAGCGGAGTGATTCTCCCGTGGCCTTTCGTGTCGTCATGTTGATGATATCTGGTATCATGCATGTTGCTTCGAAGTGCACCTAGAGCGGTTCACGCTACATTAGTCGCAGATCTCGGGCCAAAACAAGTTGCCATCTGACAGCTTGCAAAGAGTGCCAGCTCCCTCCAGTGCGAGCATGACTGAGTGCAGGGCCTTGCAAACCTTCTCCACGGAACGTTCCAGCTTCATGTCCCGCAACCTTACGCTGATTGCTCGAATTTACATCTTGAGACATGCCCCCTGGCAGAATAACTAAGCCTTTCTTGGATCCCGTGCACATGAAAACACCTGTAGCTTCAGCCGACCGGACTCAAAGAGTCTTGCTGTACCGATCAACCCGCCTGCGGATGTCTGATTTCTGTGCATAGCCCCTCTCAACGAAAGCTGGGGATGTGGCTTGCCACCGCGCTGCTTCCGGTAATGAGCCCGCAAGCTCTGGACTACCGACTCCTGGTGAATATGCATGCACAAGCCACTTGAAGAGTGCACGTACACCTCATTTCAGCTACCAGTTGCCCTGATTCGGGAATGACAAGTCTGGAGTCCGATTAAGTGTGGAATCCCGACTCTAGCGATTATAAAGTACCATGTTCAAGCTGGCACTCTTTGGACAGGTCTGCCTACCCTCCTTACAATCTGTCTTTGCAGAGTAGTCAGAGAGCCAACCATTCCACAATCCAAATGTCTTGATCCAGGCTGGTTTGAAAACCACATCGATTCAAGATCCCCTTTAGACTCTTGCCGATATGGGCTTGTGTCAACGCAGCGGCAATCCGCCGACAACAGGCGGCGTGTTGGACATAAGAAATGCTCCTTACCTCTTTACCTGTTACCCCTCCCCTAACCCCCCCCCAGGGGCAGCATTTCAGACTATTGCGGGGGGGGGGGGTCCACGTACCACGCGGTGATTCGAAGACGCTTCACTAAATCTGCGCATTGTGCGGGCTTGCGCAACTCAGTTTCCAAAAACATTGGGGTGTTCGATTCCCCCCGGGTGCGCTTTCGCATCCTTAGCAGCTCCAGCGGCACATCGCCAGCATCGCCTGCATCATCCGCATCAGCGCCTGCCAAGGATGCGGATGATGCAAGTGATGCTGGGGATGTCGCCTATGCTGGTGAACCCCCCCCCAGTTCCTTGTTGAGATCATTTATTTCCCCCCTTTTCCTTCTAAGGCCTTTTCCCACCCTCAGTTCTTCTCCCTTTTCCTCCCAAAGATCTTTCCCCCCCTTTCCTCCCTAAGTCCTTTTCCCTGAGTTCGTCTCCCTTTGCCTCCCTAAGATCTCTTCCCCCCTTTCCCGCTTAAGATCCTTGCCCCCGTTTCCCCCCTAAGGCCTTTTCCCCCCAAGATCTCCACCCTTCTCTTCCCAAAGTTTTTTCTCTCTTTCCCGATTGAGATCCTGTCCCCCGATTGCCCCTTAGGGCCTGTTCCCCCCGAGAAAGATTTCCCTTTTCCTCCCAAAGATCTTTTCCCCCCTTTCCCCCTTAAGGCATTTTTTCCCCAGATCTTCTCCCTTTCCTCCCTGAGATCTTTCCCCCCCTTTCGCTGTTGAGATCCTTTCCCCCTTTCCCCCCTTCATTTCCAGATCTTAGGGAGGAAAGGCAGAAGATCTGGGGCAAAAAGGCCTTAGGGGGGAAAGGGGAGAAATGATCTCAACAGGGCAAGGGGTGGAAAAGATCTTCGGGAGGAAAGGGAGAAGATCTGGGGAAAAAAGGCCAACAGGGAAAGGGGGGAAAAGATCTTAGGAAGGAAAAGCGAGAAGCTCTGCCTTGGGAGGGAAAGGGGGGAAAGGATCTCAACAGGGAAAGGGTGGGAAAGATCTTAGGGAGGAAAGGGGGGGAAGATCTTCCCCCCCTTTCCTCCTTAAGATCTTTCCCACCCTTTCCCTGTTGAGATCCTTTCCCCCCTTTCCCTCCCAAGGCCTTTCCCCCCCCCCATGAGAGCTTCTCCCTGTTCCTTCCTAAGATCTTTTCCCCCCTTTCCCTGTTGGGCTTCCCCCCCTAAGTCCTTTTCTCCCAGATCTTCTCCCTTTCCTCCCTAAGATCTTCCCCCCCCCCCTTTCCTTCCTAAGATTGTTTCCCCCCTTTCCCTGTTGAGATCCTTCCCACCCTTTCCCCCTGAGGCCTTTCCCCCCCTGAGAGCTTCTCCTTCCTTAGATCTTTCCCCCCTGTCCCTGTTGGCCTTTTTTCCCCCAGATCTTCTCCCTTTCCTCCCTAAGATCTTTTCCACCCCTTTCCCTGTTGAGATCATTTCTCCCCTTTCCCCCCTAAGGCCTTTGCCCCCAGATCTTCTCCCTTTCCTCCCTAAGATCTTTCCCCCCCTTTCCCTGCTCAGATCCTTTCCCCCCTTTCCCCCCTAAGGCCTTTCCCCCCCTGAGATCTTCTCCCTTTTCCTCCCTAAGATCTTTTGCCATTTTTCCCTGTTGAGATCCATCCCCCCTTTCCCCCCTAAGGCCCTTTCTCCCTCTGAGTTTTTCCCTTTTCCTCCCCACGATGTTTTCCCCCCTCTCCCTGTTGAGATCCTTTCCCTCCTTTCCCCCCTAAGGCCTTTTTTCCCCCTGCGATCTTCCCCCTTTTCCTTCCTAAGATCTTTTCCCCCCTTTCCTTGTTGAGATCCTTTCCCGCCCTTTCCCCCCTAAGGCGTTTTCCCCCCCAAGATCTTCTCCCTTTTCCTCCCTAAGATCCTTTGCCCCCTTTCCCTGTTGAGATCCTTTCCCCCCTTTCCCCCCTAAGGCCTTCCCCCCCCTGAGATCTTCTCCCTTGTCCTCCCCAAGATCTTTTCCCCCGAGATCTTCTCCCTTTTCCTCCCTAGGATCTTCTCCCACCTTTCCCTGTTGAGCTCCTTTCCCCCTTTTCCCCCTAAGGCCTTTTCAGATCTTCTCCCTTTTCCTCCCTAAGATCCTTTGCCCCCTGTCCCTGTCGAGATCCTTTCCCCCTTTCCCCCCTAAGGCCTTTTCCCTGCCTGGGACCTTCTCCCTTTTTCACTGAGATCTTTCCCCCCCCTTTCCCTGTTGAGATCCTTTCCCCTCTTTCCCCCCTACGGCCTTTCCCCCCGCTGAGATCTTCTTCCTATTCCTCCTTAAGATCCTTTGCCCCCTTTCCCTGTTGAGATCCTTTCCCCCCTTCCCTTTAAGGCCTTTCCAGATCTTCTCCCTTTCCTTCCTAAGATTGTTTCCCCCCTTTCCCTGTTGAGATCCTTCCCACCCTTTCCCCCCTCAGGCCTTTCCCCCCCCTGAGAGCTTCTCCCTTTTCCTTCCTTAGGTCTTTCCCCCCTTTCCCTGTTGGCCTTTTTTCTCCCAGATCTTCTCCCTTTCCGCCCTAAGATCTTTTCCACCCCTTTCCCTGTTGAGATCATTTCTCCCCTTTCCCCCCTAAGGCCTTTGTCCCCAGATCTTCTCCCTTTCCTCCCTAAGATCTTCCCCCCCCCCCCCGCTGAGATCCTTTTCCCCCTTTCCCCCCTAAGGCCTTTCCCCCCCCTGAGAGCTTCTCCCTTTTCCTTCCTAAATCTTTTCCCCCCTTTCCCTGTTGGGCTTTCCCCCCTAAGTCCTTTTCTCCCAGATCTTCTCCCTGAAAGGGAGACGATCTGGGAGATCTTAGGGAGGCAAAGGGAGAAGATCTCAGGGGGGAAAAGGCCTTAGGGGGGAAAGGGGGGAAAGGATCTCAACAGGGAGAGGGGTGAAAACATCTTAGGGAGGAAAAGGGAAAAAAACAGAGGGAGAAAAGGCCTTCGGGCGGAAAGGGGGAATGGATCTCAACAAAGAAAGGGGGGCAAAAATCTCAGAGGGGAAGGGGGCAAGGGGACAATTCCAAAGGGACGCAAATAAGAAAGCAGGCCTGTAATGTCGGCGGCCTGAGCCAGAGGCACTAAAATAAGGTGGTTGTCCTTTTGGTAAACAACAAATAAATCACAACTACAATCCAGGGAGGAGCTGAGCCTCCATGATTTGTGCTGGCCAGCAAAGCATCTGCCATGGTGCCAGGAACACACCATAATGGCAAGGGCGGCCCGATCATTTACCAGCCACATCTAGGGTCCTCAACATCTGGACATCTCTGTCACTCATGCACTCGGCCACCTACTCTCTTTTCGCACCGAGCCCAGCAGCAAGTGCTCCCAAAGAGCACAGTGGCAGTTCTTCAAAAGGCAGTCCTCCAGCTCGTACTTGCTGTAGAAATCATCCCTGAAGACCTGTCAAGGTGGCAGCAAATTCAGACCTCTTCATGGAGCAACCCGAAACCAACAAATCCTGCTGCAAAGTCTTCACACGATGTCGACATGGGAAATACGGGCCTTCAATGCCATGTGGATCTCGTAGAGCTGGCAACTGGGCCCAAGCTTCGGAACGCTTGCTATCTTCGTCATGTTCAAGTGCCGAGTGCTGGGCAGAGTGTCTCCCGGCATCGTGGGCGCATCCTGCCCGCGCGCATTCCCGAACCCAAACTTTCGGAAAAGCGACGGGTTCGGTTTGTGGCCTCCAAGGCCTTGAAGACGGCCCGGAACATTTGGTCGTGGTAGAAGCCGAGTGTCACGAACCTGAGCAACTGCCATGGCTCGGTCTTCTTTTGAGGGCATCCGTCCTTTTTCTTTTTATTTTTTTTTGGGAGGGGGTTCATTTAAAAAGCAACCAAAGGGAGAACCACCATTTTGGGGGGTCCCCTGTTCTCAGAGCCACTTGCATCCCAGGCACGTCCAGGCCAGTGAGCAGAACTCTTCTGGCGTCAGGCCGCCCTAACAGATGAAAAGGCCATCCCGACATCTTTTTTCCCCCAACAGCTGAAAGCTTTGGAGTCTCAGCCCAGATAGGCTCCGGGGTGGTCCGGGGAGGCCCTGAGGTAAGGTTCCACGAGGGTTTTCGAGCACTAAAAAGAGCACCGCATGCTGTTGGGGATACCACCTGAGCTTATTCTTTTTTCGGGGAAACCAACTGAAAAGTGGTTGGTAGACATGAACCCTCACCTGAATGATGTCCATCAAAGGATCCCCCTTTAAATTAATGCCCAGCAGTCCAAGTCCAAGTGCAAGCCCAGGAGAGCTTGCACTTCAACCCGGACTAAGAGTGGATAAATGTTCGGGCATGCCTTCGGGCCCTGTGCCAAGTACTCCCCCACGGCTTTGCCCAACTCCATGTCTCTCACCTTGGCGCTGATCATGGAACTGCGCCAGCTGGCCAAACATTGGGCATCGGGCGCAGCAGGTCGCGAGACTTCTCAGGCCTCTGGCCAAGTCAGACCCTGGCACCTGGAAGAGAGGCAGCCGCATTTGAGTGAAGCTGCTGGTGCGATCAGGGGATGAGACATGGAATGACCCCGAAAACCGTCCAACTGCTGGCTTCCTTTAGGAAGTCACGGCGCCTTTCCCGGCCTGGGATACCTGGAATCTCAGCAGCTTGGCTGCCGCCTCCAGCAGCGGTACGTGCACCAGCCCGGCCTGCGAAACACACGCATCCGCTCGCTCCGTCGGTCGCGAGTCGTGGCAAAGGCCTTGTCAAAGGCCAAGCACAGCAGGAGGATGTCCTGGCAAAGGAAGAATGTCTGCCGACACCGTTGGCAGGGGAGCAGCTACAAGAACAAGAAGCGCCAGAAAAGCCGCCATGCACAAAGCCTGGAAGCTATTCAACAATGTCTGCATCTCAAGTTTGGTCTTGCGTGCCTCCCGAAGCATTTCTTCCGATGTATTCCGATTTGTGTTTCTTGCTTGCAAAGTAGGCCGCATTTGTCTAGGCCTCCAGGAAGGCTTTGCATCGGCATTGGACGGCGCTTGGTTTGGGTCCATCGAATACGTGTTTGGAGCAGTGGGCTCCAGGCTGGCCAGGCAAACGAGCCTTGGGAACCAGTCAGCCGCTTTTCCGGTTCGGTTCCCCGGGTAGATGGCCTCGCGTTTGTTTTGTGCGGCAAAAACTGTGTTGTCTGCATCCCCAGCATCCCCCAGCCTTGGTGTCAGGTGATTGTATTTGGTCTTTGAGGATGGCTTGGTGTTTATTCAGGCTGCTGCTATGATGTGCACCCAAGAAAAAAGCCGCCGACACTATCAAGTGCGAAGAAGGTAGGTGCAATCTTTGGTTTGAAATGGATGCTTTCCTCGCAAAAGCCTGACAACTTTCCGCCGATAACTGTCTTGTTAGGAAGCACAAGCCAACTGTATTGGCAGCGGGTTTTTCAGAACACGACTTTGTCACTTCAGTACTTTTCCAACCCCAGCACCATAGGCCACGGCATCAAGATCCAAGAACCAGCCCGGATCCAAGTCATCTTATCTAAGTCATACTATCAAACTGTAATCTAAGCCATGATTATTAGTCTAAGTACTCTGACCAAGGCTTCGCGCAGGCTGCGAGAGCCATCCACATCCCATCCTCCACCGAGAACCGTTCGCAGCGCGCCACGGAGGCGCGCGCCAGCGAGGCGAAGAAGCGCTCCTGCCGTGCGCGGTTATGGCACCGGAGCGCCGGCAAAACATGGCCATGGGTCAAAATCCCGTACCCCCAGTGAACATCCCAATCCCCACTAAAATAGAATAAAGTGGGTGGTGCACCTACCCCAAAATGGTACCATTGGTTTTGACCCACAGCCACATGGCGAACCAAGGCCATGACGCTCGGAAGAAAACATGCAATTGATTTGAGATGGCGATGTGAGCATATTGGCAAGCCCAGCCATTCGCCGTTTGTTGACTCGCGGTTGAAAGCTAAAACGAAGCAAGCTATACACTGCTTTGGTCACTCTCGTTCCCTCCTCTGTCTGACCAATGGTAGCCATGGCATTGGCGATCTGGCTGAGATCTCTAGGAGCCACGTCCATCAACCTCACAATGCAACTGCAAGGTGCAACTAGCTGCTTCACGGGGAGGGTGCTGCAAGGCGGACAAACAAGTGCGGGCCGTCGAATTTCACGATGTGGCAATCACAGACTAGGCGCCTCAAGGAAAGCTCTGCGGCTGTGGTTGTGAAGAAGGACCTTGCCTCACGCAGCAAAAGGTACTGCTGTATGCTGAGAACGCTTGGGCTGGGGCATCCTCGGACAACTTGGGCTTCCCATCGGCATCGCTGCCTGACATGCTCTCGCAAACTCTATGTCTGGCAGAAGCAGAACTGGCACATGTCCTGCTCAATGACTCTTGATGTAGCAGCCCCCGCAAGACCCAACCGTGATTGTAGTCCTGCACTTTGCTGCCGGGCCACCACTCACAGCCGCAGCCCAGCTGGCCAAGGCGGCCAAAATCCGCGTCAAATGAGGACCTGAAATGGGACTCGGGCGAACAGTGAAACGAAAAGCGCGTGCAGAACTCGCCCATGCCCATGTAAACAAAGCAGAACTAGCATTGGCGTGCCCGCCAGTGTCACGTTGCAACCCTCATGATGCAAATCCTCTTGGCCTCAAATCTATTACAGGCGCAAAGGCGGTCTGTTTATCAAGGCAAGGGCTGGGGAAGCGTGAGGCGGGAAGCAGCCGAGCGATCTCGTCCAGGAAAGCCGCGGTGCGGAGACCTCGAAGCGAGCTCGGACTCGAGTCGAAGCCTCGACCCAAAAGCGACTTATCCGGGTTGTCAGTCCTTTCCCTTCAATGACTTCCAATATGTCCCACTCGTCCACATGTGTAGTCAAAACGTATGTGGGCCACGGTCAAGTCGTTCTTCCCCAAATTGGAACCCTTAGAATGGGTGTTTAAACTTCTCTGCCAATCTCGAGGGATTGGCTTGCCATGCGCCACATCAAAAGAATGCTACAGTTGCCTCTGCGGACATCGGCAAACTAGCTAGACCGGAAATTTCGCAAAAACCTCACACGAGTATCGGTCAAAATAGAGGGACTTCCAAATGAGGCACGGTCAAAATTACTTACTTGCGGCCGTTTCGCTACTTAGTTTGAAGAGTTCTGTATCGTTTTCCAGCGTTTCCAGCCTTTTCCAGGGGTATCGCTTTTTTGAGCGTGCCCTATCGTTTGCCATGGTTTTGTGCATTTTCAGAGTATCAATGAAACACAAAATTCCTAAACTCAACAGAAGTAATTTTGACGGCACTTCAAATGGGTGGACTCCTCAAAGCAAGCAACAGGTGCCCCCAAAGAAGCAAACAAAAAAAGGACGACCCCAAAGAAAAACTACCACGCACCACTCACATACTGTATCTCCAATGTCTCTCAATGTCAATGTCCCCCCCTGTCTCCCACGGTTCTCAGGCGCCCGCCCTCCGCGCCAGGGATTCGGCTCACCAGGTCCGCGGCCTTCTGCGGCTCCAGCTTCGGCAGCAGCGCCGTGATCTGCTGCTGGAGATCCTCCGGGGCAAAAGCATCCGGCCGCATCCGGCCCGTCGCTCTGGGAGAAAGGCTCTCGGAGAGGTCCATGTCTTTGAGACCAAAAGGCTCTTGCGCGTTTGCATGGGTGAAGGACCTATGTTCCAACTCATTTGCCGGCCCGTGTCAGCGTTGCCCCAACCCGCACCTTGCGGTCTTCGGAGCCCAAACTAGTGCCTGGCGCAGAGCTTGCAGCCGTCCAAATCTCAAACTGAATCAAACTGGCCTACTGACTCTAATCGCTGACACAGACTGTCCAGGGGCGTCAGCCTTGAGGACATGTGCATGTGCTGGTCAAAAAGTCCCGCACTTGTGCCATACCGCACACACACACACACACAAACCAAAGGCAATTTAAGCGGAGCACCCTTTAACGTTGAAGGTGTTGCCGCTGGCACCTCCTCCAATTGTGAAGGCCTGGCCGCGCTGGTGCCTCCCAGTTGAATTCCCATCAGTATCACTTCATTCCTTGCACCCAGGACTCGGCATGTGGTATTGATCAGAAAGCTAACGTAAATCTGCAGTTCAACTCGTAGCGCTGAAGTTCTGATGTCCCTTGATCAAGGTTTACCCGGACCTAAGCTCAGTGATGCAGGTGCTCACCTGAGTTGTGTAAGCATTGGCACAAGCTGAAGGAAGCATCAAGGTGGCAGCATGCAAGAATTACTAAGTGATGCTTTGGGTGTTGCCCCTCAGCATATTATGTTGTCAACACAGCTTGCATGAGTATGAATGCCTTGCAATCAGTCGTTTCCCTCAGATGGTTGAATCCCCTCACTGACATTGGAATGAGGCTCACCAATCCTGCGTTTGGAAGTGGAAATGGACGTCTGTTTTGCAAGCAGAGAAGCTGATGAGCTCATTCTTTGCAAGGAATTTCAATAGGAACACATCTGAGGGGACAACATGGTGCAATGCAAATCGTTTCGGGCTGTGATCCGCTCGCCACTTTGTGCAAAGCAGAAGAGCAAGAACCAATCCTCCCAAAAAGCTGGCTTTACTACTGGGGAAAAGCGGTCGCCCGGTCTGCTCTCCCGAAACAGCCATCCGGACACAAACAATGGACAATGCTTTGTTTTGCCGGCTTTCCTTAGAATGACCTAAGCCCGCCCTCCCAAGCTACCAGAAAGAACGGCTGGATTGATTCCCTGTGATGCGCCTGCTGCAGTGAAGCCGTGTCAACAACTTTGTCAGCAGGCACCTTGCCCTTCGCCACGTTGCTTTGTGCCTTGTCCCAACGAAGCGCTCACCCAAGCAATTTAGCCCATATTCACCTTACCCTCAATTGGTGATTTGGATTGGTGGTTGTGTGTGTGTGTGTTTTCTTTGATACCCTCCGCAAAAGCCTGGGGTTCAAATCCCCAAAGCACCAATCCAAACAACCAACTCAGGAGCACCTGATATCTGGGGTAGATGCGTGACTGAGCATTGTTGCAATGGATGAGGAGTCCTTTTTCTTCACCTCCACCTGCGCCCATGCTGGCCACTGAAGAAGCGGGGTAGACTTTGATGCAAACATAGCAACTCCAGCCTCCGGCGCCGGCGTTGCTTGGGCAGCTCCATTCATCTCAGCCTCAGCCAAAAAACGTCACAAATAGGTACCCAAAATGGAACCCCGGTAAATGGAAACCATGACTAAAACCTGCGGTCCCCTGGTGGTTTGATTTTGACCCGTAGTATGCAGATGGGCGCGTGCCTATCAATCAAGATCCAACAGTATTCCTTCGTTGGACCCAAGGATGGCACCTCGGGGGCCGCTGCTCCTGGCAGCTTGCGGCTTACAGGTAGGACTGCATAAGCAGAGTCATCAGGCCTCCGCCATCTTCCTCTGCCTCTTCAACCTATGCAGCAGTTTTGCCAGCGAGATGCAACGGCCACCAACGCGCGTACCTGCGGCGCTGGTTCCTCCACAGCTTCTGGCGCTGTTTCCTGGGCAACAAACAGCTTTTCTTCTCGGCTGGAACACGGTCTATTGGCTGAGGTTGGAGCCACAGGCTTCTTGGACTCTGGCGGGGGTGGGGGTGGCAGCTCCTCAATCGGCCCCTCCGCTGCTCGCTGTGCAAGCCGCTTCAATGCATCCTTATCGAAGGCTGCAGGTTCTGGCGCTTGGGGTGGCGGCTGCTCTTCTGCAGGCTGATATGCGGCGTTCATGGCTGCATTGATGCGGGCGGATGCTGCCAGGTGGGCAAAGAGGTCGATCTGGCCAGAGCCACTGGGTGGAGCTGCTGGAGCAGCCGTTGATGGAGGTGCAGGCAGCAGCGAAGATGAGCCTGGTACTCCTGCAGCTGGCTGCTGCCGTGCAGCCACGAGCGCAGCGATGATAGCTGCGGCCTGCGGCGACAACGTGGACGCTGCCGGCGCTGGCGCACCGGGTGGAGCAGGTGGTGCAGTTGCAGTGCCCGCCGCCCCAGCTCCTCCCAAGGCCTGGAGGATAGCCAGAGCTCCCGGGTTTGGAGGCGGGGCAGGCGTAGCTGCGGCGGACTGCTGTGCTGCCAAAGCCGCGAGGACAGCCGCAGTCTGCGCGTTCGCCCCGGGAGCTGGTGGCGCTCCTAGGGTAGTTCCGGCCGGCAGAGCCGTCGCTGGCAGAGCTGGGGCGGTGCTGGGAGCAGTTGGGGCTGGGGCACCTGGTGGCGCCTGCTGCCGCGCAGCCACAAGCGCAGCAATAACAGCTGCCGCCTGCCATGAAGTCAAACTTTGCGTCCACTCTTTTGACGTGTTCGTGTTTACGTAAAACCGGCAATCGGCATGGTTCGCGCAGTAGATTTCTTTCTGTGTGGGTGGGCATAGTTTTAAGCGACCACCCAATTGCAGGTGTTGTTTTGAAAATGTGTCCTATTGTCACCCTTTGGAACTGGATATGCCATACAACATTCACCTTTTGCCCGCATGCAAACACACAAAGATGCATAGCACATAGCTACAAATATTCCATCTGCAAGCAGGCATGCAGGCAGGCAGGCAGGCAGGCAGCCAGGCAGCCAGGCACACACGTACGCAGGCAGGCAGCCAGGCAGGCGAGCAGGCAGGTAAACAGGCAGGTAAACAGGCAGCCAAACAGGCAGGAGAGCAAGCAAGCAAGCAAGCAAGCAACCAAGCAAGCAGGCAAAGCAAAGCAAGCAAGCAAAGCAAAGCAAAGCAAAGCAAGCAAAGCAAAGCAAAGCAAAGCAAAGCAAAGCAAGGCAAGGCAAGGCAAGGCAAGGCAAGGCAAAGCAAGCAAGCAAGAAGGTGAACGCCTCATGTCCCGCCTGCGGCGACAACGTGGACGCTGCCGGCGCTGGCGCACCGGGTGTTGGAGCAGGCGGTGCAGTTGCAGTGCCCGCCGCCCCAGCTCCTCCCAAGGCCTGGAGGATAGCCAGAGCTCCTGGGTTTGGAGGTGGCGGAGGCGTAGCTGCGGCGGACTGCTGAGCCGCCAAAGCCGCGAGGACAGCCGCAGTCTGCGCATTCGCCCCGGGAGCTGGTGGCGCTCCTAGGGTAGTTCCGGCCGGCAGAGCCGTCGCTGGCAGAGCTGGAGCGGTGCTGGGAGCACTGCCTGGAGCAGTGCCAGCCTGCGGAGCCAATTTGGATCAGAAAATCCAAGCGGGTCAGTCCAATTGTCCATTTGTCATTAAATTCAACGCGCTATTGCAAGATAGCCTGGGCGTGGGCAGCCTGCGCTGCCTGCGCAGCAGCAATGATGGCCCCCAGATTTGGTGCGTCCGTGCGCGGCTGCTTTGCCGCGGCCTTGGCAGCAAATCAATATAATATATCCAGCTCAGAATCCACACATCCGCCTGTGCCGCATCTTCAGCTTGCCTGAGACAGCAAAGGCACTACAAAAAAAAAAGAAACGTACACATGGTCACCCACAGGTCAGGCCTCTTCTGACCTTGAGGCGGCGCTGCATGCCTCAGGCTACCAGGCTGAAGCCTCTCCTCTGCTACAAGGCACCCATTCAGCAGAGCTGCTGCTGATCGCGCCGGCGGCCTTCGATCAGCACCATGGCCTTTGTCCGAGCAAAACTGCCAGCCGGAATTCCTCCGGTTGCAACTTCCCCCTTAGCTTCTTTCCATGAACCAGCCCATGAACCAGCCACATCTATCAAACCAAGCCACCTAAGCGGAATAGGGATTCGGCATCAAGGACGACGCGGGCAGTGGCTCTGTGTTTCTGCTGCTCTGATAGCGCCGGCTTTGGACTTGGCTTTCACACTCGTAGAATCAAGCTCTGCAGGATGACGCTAGCTCCGCAGACGGTCATGCGTTTACGTGCTGCAACTTCTCATCTTGGCTGCCATGTACTCTCGGGGGCACCCACCAGCCCCTCGATCCAAACAGCCACGGGCCAGCTGATGCTACACTGCAAGCCTGCAACAAAACAGATTCTGCTCTCAAGGTGTCCAAGGCACTGCAACTTCCAACCACCCCATCAAGTCTGTTAGCTGTACAAAGCAAAGCGTATCAACACATGTGCGAGTCACTATCTGCCAACCCTCCTACATCATGATTGCTCTTGCCAACGATGATGCCTCAGCTGCGGTTGATCCTGCCTGTATGCTTGAGGACGCGTTCCGTGTCAAATTCGAACCAGGACAAGGTCTCAAGTCCTGCAATGGCACTTGAGAAGAGACCAACTCGCCCCTATTGCCATCACATCCAAAGCCTTCGGTTCGGGGCTGTCTCAAAGTCCGTCTTTTGTGTGGCCGCGACAAATTGAACAAGTCCTTGCAATTCATTCGCTTACGGCTTGCGGTGGCACCGTCGAGTCCGCCATGGCGCTGGGGCAATACTCGCTGCCTGGCCTCTTGCGGTTGGCCACTAGACGTCTAGGTTCATGAAACATGCGTGCCGCCTTCATGCCCTTGCGCAGTCGAGGTTTGTGGTAAGCCGATATCCCTTCCCATGCTCCTCTCTCTTTCCCATGCTCTTGTAGAGTTCATCTCAAGGATCGGAAAGGCAAGAAATTCGTGAGAAAGATTGTAGGCTGGGATCTGGCAAATTGCCCATAAGATACAATGACGAGACCTGGTCTCTTTCTTATGAAACTGCTTTGAAACTAAGTGCTTTACTTCCCTGAGGCAATTAAATGAATTGTCAGGAATGATGACGGGCGAGTTGCAAGCGATTGCACTCGAATATGTTATGCAGGCACCGCGGGACAGCGAGCGCACCCACAGTTTCGGACCCCACACCTCAGTGCAAGCAACAAGTCCAACAACTCTTCCGTGAAGGCACCTCCTTGGATTTGATAGCCTGAAGGCATTCACAGAACAAGGCCTTGACAGCTCCAGGCCACAGTGGTTCTAAGCGCTAAACTTCAGACGCTCAAATCACACCCCGTTAGTCAAACACGGAGGAAGGTTCAAACGCAAAAATCGTACATTCGCTGGTTTTCTGGATTCCACAGAGTTTCGCTTGAGAGCAGGTGGGGTGTATCTCGAGGATAGGTCTTGCTGGGCACCAGACGATGAACACAAACGCTGAATGTATACCTTGGTCGGCAGGAGCAAAGTGCATTATTTCCAAGCCAAGTGTGTGCGGCGCTGCCAAGCATGGCCGCAGTGCAGCCAAGCCGCCGAAGATTATGGCCAGCACTATGACAATGAAGCCCATGCCTTCAATGTGCCACGTGTGAGGGCAGGGAGGAGAGATCAGCATCGGAAAGCTCAAAGAAAGGCTTCCCCACCATAGACGCGTTGCCGCGTGAAGGGTCTTGTCCGCTGCATCGCCTGGCGGATGCAATCCAACCAGCACAATTGAAAGCCTCAGAAAGAGACAATAACGAAAGTGACACAAAGTACGATGAGATGTGGCGCTCACTTCCAGCTGTATCGCCCAACTCGACCATTCCTACCTCGCGCTTTTAGTGACGCTACCGCACAAGGCTTAGGCCCGGCAGGTGCGGGCGCGCTCCATCGGCCAAGCGCTCCGCCTCGCTCAGCAGTCGCCGCGCCAAGGGGTCCTTGTCCAGCTTGGCCAGCGAGCTCCGGATTTCCTTCAGTAGTGCCTGAGCAGCGTCTGCCCCCTCAGGCTGGGCCTTCTCCACCAATATCAGTGCCACCTGTGCAAGGTGCAGGGACAACTCCTTATCGCTGACACCATCAACGTGCTTCTTGCGCAAGTCTGCCGCCCAGGAGGCGGAATGGCTCAGGACCGCCACGTAAAAGCGCAGGAGGCTCACCATGGGCATCTGGAACGGCTTTCTGGCGAGCACCTTGAGGGGCACCCAAGCGTCCACCACCGGGAACCCGGACACCTTGTGCCAGAGGCAGCTACAGAACTCCAGGAGGGTCGCAACGCAGCCGGCGTCCCACAGCTCGCTGCCAGTCTTCAAGGCCTCAGACATCTCCGCCAGGAGCTGCACAGCTCTCGCCTGGAAATCCTCCGGCGTAGCGCCGGCGGCAGGCTGCAACTGGGGCGTGTGCAACTGCAGGAAGGTTGTAGATCTTCTGACCAGCAAAAGCGGGAACATGCCGTGGCACCTGGCTGATGGCACCTGCATCTGCCCAGGGCTGTAGGGAGTGTCCTTGGGCAGCAAGCAACGGAGCCAAGCTTCAAAGCCTGCTTCACGTTCCTGTACGCTGGAGGAGAGGTCCGCTATGACCAGCACCACGTGGTAGAGGCCGAAGTCTATGGCGATTTGGTACAAGTCCTGAAGCAGAAGCAAGGACTCATCCAAGACTTGCCTCTGCTGTCTGGCTCTTGAGCGCCAACGCTCGGAGACGTGCCCGTCGAGGATCAAGAGGTCCATTTCCTCACTTGCCCAAAGGACCTGGAAATGCAAGGTTAACCTTTTTGGGACCTTTTCTAAACCCAAAAAGGGCAAACCAAAAGGTCAAAAGGTCGGCTTTGGGCAAGTGAGCTTCTCGCTGAAGCGGCAACTGCACACGAGCAGCTGCATCCAGCTGCGCGCTCAGGCGCTCCAATAGATCCTTGCTGCTGGGAAGCGCTCGTCGGGCAGCCTGCTTGGCTTGGTCCAAGTACTGAACACGGTGCGGGAGATCGGTCTTCCCGGACGCCATGGCCAGCAAAACCTCGGCAGCATCCTGGGGTCTGCCCTGCTTCACCCAATGCCTCCACAGAAGCTCGCCGGCTGTTTGGTGTTCCTTGGCTTTGGCCTGGAGGAACGCCTCGATAGTGGTGCCCTGGTTTCCTTGCAGAAGGTCCTCCAGAACTGGTCGCAGGGAGTCAAAGGCCAACAAATAATCAAGCACTGCCCGGTGCGCGAAGGACACTTCCTTGCTGATCGAGTTTGCCATCCGGGACGTCCTCACCAGCAGCTGCTCGACCAGATTTTGAGCAGCCAATGCCTGGTCTTCTGGCTGCCCCAGCGGCTTGGTCACCGCCCCGAGCAATGCTTCCAGAAGTTGCCGCGCTCTGGCCTCGCTGGCGGGTCCTTGCTCCTGCTGCTGGATCTGCTGCAGTTTCTCCACACAGATCTCCGCTGCGCGATTGGGCTGCTCCTTCACCGCTTCACGTACACTTTGACACAGCGACACCCAGCTGTCCTCCGCTGAGCCCACGTAGACACACTGGGCGTAGCGGTGCAGCAATTCCACCGCGGGCTTGGACGTCTCCGGAGCAAAGCCCAGAGTGGGGGCCTGCACCGCGAGCCGCGACCGCACAAAGGAGAAGTCCACCTTCTGAAAGATCTGAGAGCACTGCTCTTCGAGCTCTCGGCAAAGCTGGCTGGAGCCTACGGATCGGCCTGTCTTCACCGGTCCTTCCGCGATGGGCGTGGTAAGGCCACTTTCCATCATGAAGGCCTTGCAGAGCTGCACTGCCGGCGCCACTGCCTCGTCGCATTGAACCATCTTTCCGAAGCTCTGGCTTTGGAGCGTCAGAAGAGCAGCTTCCCCCAAATGGTTGCTGCGCAGAACACGGTATGCGCTCTTCTGCTCCTGAAGCAGCGACAGCAGAGCCAAGACCTCCTGTGCCCGGTCTGCCACCTGCAGCACAGAATTCAGGATCTGTTTAGCCTGCGCCACCGCTTCCGTACGCACCGGGCGCTCTGTGTAGAGCCGAAACCTCGTGGCTGAGGAGGCCGCCACAGGTGCACCATGGTGCCCCTGCAGCGCAGCATGCGCAAACCGCAGTGCCGGTCTCAGGCGGTGTCTCAGCTTCTGCAGCGTCTCTTCGGCAATGCCGATGCAAAGCATCGGCTGGTCCGCCACCCCCAGCTTCTCGTCCATGCGCAGGACCAACGGCAGCTCCCAGACCGGTCTCAGCGCCAAAGCCAGAAACCGCAGCAGGCCCTGCAGCCACCGGCCCAGCCGCACCGCCGGCACCGCCGGCCCCGCCGGCACCGCCGGCCCCGCCGGCACTGCCGCCAGGTGTCTCCTCTGCTCCTCGAAGCTGGGCACGCCCACGTCGTCGAAGCTCCAGGTGGCCTGAGCTCCGCCCAGCTGCAGGCGCTGCAGCTGGTTGCAGCACTCCATGGCGGAGCTGGGCGCGCCCTCCGGCGCCTTGAAGGCCAGGCGCAGCACCTGCACGCAGTTCGGCAGCATCAGCGCGAAGGCCCGGGAGGAGAAAAACTCTGCCGGCTTGCCTCGGGGCGCAATCAATCAAGAAGACATTCTTTGGAGGATCCAACAAATATCGTACACCAAGATCAAAGGGCAAGTAGCCCGGGGATCGATGAATGCTATCCCGGCAAGTGGCCCCAAACAGTGTTCAAAAAATGACTCGAAAATATTGTAAGACAGGAAACTTCCATACTGCGAACATAACTAGCATCGGTTGACTGACTGCAGCATCGGTTCTACACCCCCGCGTCGCCAAAGAGCTATTGGTTTTCGCTTTGGTTTGGGCTGGGCCAGTGGGCTTAGGGTTGGTTTATTCAAGATAGATATACTGTTACTTTAGGGCTCCTGCGGCGTTTGGACAATGGGTTGTGGGGAGTGTATGGTTGGTTTAGAGTTGGTTTAAGGTGGGGTTGAGGTTTTTTGAGTGCTGGTGAGTCGGCTTGGTGTGGGTTCAGGGTTGGTCCAGGGTCACTGTAAGGTTGTTGGTTGGGGTTGGCTCAAGGAGATATAGGGTTGGTTTGGGGGGCTGATTTCGGGCGTGTTCAGGGTGGAGGAGTGGGTCGGTTTGTGTAAGGTTGTTGGGTTTGGGGTTGGCTTTTGGTTGGTCTGGGTTTGCGCAGGCTTTGTTTTCTTTCTTACTTTTTTCTGCCCTACCCTGCTTCGACTGCCTGTCGCCTTCAGCAGGGCGTCGGCGTAGCCAGGCATCGCCGCGCCGCGAGCGCGCACAAACTTAAAATTCCCTGTTTATAGCTGCATTATAGATCCGTCTGTCTTCCAGTTGGGATTCAGTGTAAGCAAACAACCCAAATTTCTCGTCAAATATTTTATGTTTTTCGCATAGTGCAGCCAGTTCTGTCGAGGGCGACCTTGGCGTTTTTTCCCCATACTGTACTCTTTGAACCGAATCAGGGGTAAAGGAGATTTGCCTAAGCGGGTCATCATGTGAAGCTCTAGCAATATGCCCCAGCAACTTTGCCCTTCGATTTTGATAATGAACACTGAACAGAAATATGTCTCTGCGGTCGCCCTGACGTGGGAATGCTACGTTTGTTGCTTGTTGCAACACTGCTCGGTTTGTATTTGCCCTGTCAATCAAGGTGTGCGGTATCTTGAGAATTCTCCTCAAGCATCTGAGTTGGAAGCTCGCCTTTCAATTTAAACCAGGTCCTCCGGACTTCCTGCATTTTGTTCAAAGTTTCATTTTGGATATGAATGTCCCTGTTTAGTTCATTTCCTAGATACGTCGCCTCATTTTTTTTTGGGAGAGGCTCTTGATTAAAATGGACCAGGCCGTCATTGTTCAATTTTAAGCCATATTTTGCCGGCTCTCTGTTAGTGTCAACAGTTCGTTTAGCGCCCTATTGTCAGTAGAGAACAGAATCGTGTCGTCAGCGTAGTACACCATATCAAAAGTTAGGCAAGGGATGCGGGTATTCAACACCCTACGGCTGACACTATGTTGTATGTCATGGTCGATGCAAGACATGACAATGACAAACAAGTATGGCGATAGCGGGCACCCTTGCCGAATTCCAGAAGATTGCTTTTTAGAACTGGATGAGCCAGATGCATCTTTTACAAAAAAAAGTTGGGTTTTGGTAACAATCGTTTATCACATCACGGTAATGCTGGCTAAAACCCATCCTGCCCAGCGCGAGTGTAAGTTTATCGTGCTGGGTTTTGTCAAACGCCTTTTCCCAGTCCAATTCCGCCAGGCTCAGTTTGGTCTTGCACCCGGCGAATGAGGTAAATGGCATGGGAAGTAGACCTGTACGGTCTAAAGCCGTATTGTGTAGAAGACAAGTTGTGTTCTACAGCATCCTGCATCCGTTGTCGAATCATAATCATATGGATTTTGTAAACGCTACTTAAAAGAGAGATGGGTCTGTAATTGGCGGTGTTGTCAGTATCACCTTTTTTGTAGATGGGGACTACTAGCAGGCTTTGTTTAGGATTGGCTTAAGGCTGGTTTAGGGTGGTTGGGGTGTCTTCACGGTGAATTTAGGGTGGTTGCATGGCCAGTTTAGGGTTGGTTCAGGTGTTTATTTTAAATGGGCTTAGGCTTGGACTTCAGGTAGGGCTGGCTCGGGGATCACTAAGGGTTGCTTGGGGTTGCTTCAAGTTGGGGTTCGTGTGGGCTTATTGCGGGTTTCGCACGGGTTTAACGTTGGTTTTGGGTGTCTTGAGGGTGGGATTAAGGTGTGTTGGCTTGGTTTGAATTTGGGTAAAGGTTTTTGCGGAGTGGATTAAACTGGTTCGGGATGGGGTTGGTTTAAAGGTTGGTTGAAAGCCTGGTTGAGGGTTGACTTCACGGTTTGGTTTAGGGCCGGTTTAATGTTGATTTCAGTTTAGGGTTTAGGGTTGATTTTTGGGTGGGTTTAGGGCCGGTTTAAGGTGGGTTACGGGCCGGATTTAGGTGGGTTTCGGGTGGGCTGGTTGGCTTTGGGTTGGTTTAAGGTTGGTTAGCGTTGGATATCAGGTGGATTTAGGGTTGGTTTAAGGTTGGTTCAGGGTTGGTTCGGGGTTGGTTTAGGGTGGGTAGGGGGTTGGTTTCGGGAGGGTTTCGGGCGTGTTTGGGGTTGGTTAGGGCCGATTTTGGGTTGGTTTAAGGTTGGCTTAAGTTTGTGTTAGGTTGGTTTAGGGTTGGTTGAAAGCCGGTCGAAGATTAGCTAAGGGTGGGTTGAGAGTGGCCAGGAGCGACCAGGAAACACGAAGACCAAGAGACTGGAGACAAAGAGACTATGGGGACTGGAAAAAACATATCTTGTTTGATCCCGAAAATGACTTTGTTTGATGGTCATCCCACCTCGGCGCCCGTCCACCATACTGGTCACGTCAAGGCCTGTGCCATGGCGCACCTCCGTCTCCTCCACAATGTCAAGCACTTGGGCGTCCATCATGATGGACGTATGCAGGCTCTTAGCGGTGGAATCATCTTCCACTTGGCAGGTGATGCCGACCTCCATCGCCACAGAGCCCGGAAAGGCCGCAGTCTGTAGCCACACACCCGAGGAGTACACGCATGGCTCTCGGGTTTCCTCCAGGCAAGCATGTCGCAAGCGAGCGTCCCCCTTTCCTGACAGACGGGTCGTGCCACCCATCCTCGAGTCCACGACCTGCTGCAGCCAAAACCCGTGATACCGCGTCTCGGTTCCTGGAGTCGGCGGGCGTCCCTTTGTCCAGTCAGCTTCGAACTCGCGGACAATGGACCAGTCCGTGCTGTCGCTGGGGCCAGTGGGACTAGCAGCCGAACACACGAAAAGCAGCTGCTCGGATGCTGCGGTCACCACCTGCAGCCTCAAATGCCCGTCCAGACCCAGGATCGGAAAAAAGTGGGAAATGATACGGGAGGCCAAGGCCCGCTTGGCGAGCTGCAGGGCTAAATGCGCCAGCTCGGCGCTGGGCAACACGCAAAGCTCCTGCAGAACTGCTACGCTGGATGGCCCAGACGGCAGTGGCGCCCAGTCTTGCAGCCGGAAAAGGTGCAGGCTGTTGGCATCGTCCACTGCCACTATGTATCCATGGGAGGCGCACTCCAGCAGTCGGATCCGCCCGGTGCACCGCCACGAGAAGTGCAGGAAGTCGCGCACTCGTGCGTGCAAGCCGCCCACATGCCGGATCAGGCGGCATTTGGAGGTCAGCCAGCCAGCCATCTGGGAGTAGGCGAGCTCAAAGACCTGCGGCGCCCCGGAGGCCAGCAAGATGTGGCCATCACCCGTGTGGCGGATCAGATGGAAAAGCGCACCTTCGGTGCGCGCGCTATAGCCCTCCAGCTGAAGCAACTGCCAGCTGGAGCCCGAGCCCGCCAGAGTGCTTCGCGCATCGCCTCTCGGCCTCTCGTATAGCCCGACCAGGCTCACCGTCAGCCGGGTGCACACCACCAGCAGCCAGCGGACCGTACGGTCAAAGACCCCCGCGCGGGGCGGGCACAGGGCAACAGAGACGATGGCGGAATCCGCCGGCAGCGTCAGCACCTCGGGGTTCTCCCGATGGTAATCCCAAATGTACAGCAGCTCGTCGGAGCTGGCCCATGCCTGGTGCGTCTGAGCAAAGAGGCCGCAATTCGCGCGCACCTGCGCACGCCGGCACCTCTGCTCCACTGACTCAGGGATCCTCGTCTTCAGAGCGGTGTTCAGCTCCACCCGACGTGGGTCCCACTCTGCAAGCTCTACTTGCCGGTGATCCTCCTCTTCTGACAACCTCTTGATTGTCTGGGCGAGTAGTTCCGCACCAAACACCTCCCGCGCCATCGCCCCACACTATGGCGCCATAAACACTTGACCCTGTCTCTCGAGTGAGCCCAAAGTTGACACAACCCGGAAGTACCAAATACCAAATTCGTAAGACATAAAGACGAACCAGTTCAGCCTTGCACTGAGCCGTAGAGCGGTGACTATTTGCTGTGCGACCCCGAGCCTTCAGGGGGCAGCACCTGAGTCCGGGGCGAGGCTCCGAGGCTCGGCCAATCGAACGCCCCGTTTCCACTCTCCGGCTGCGAGCCGAAGGCCCGCAAATGAGGCGGCGAGCGGGCGTTAGGCGAGATCCAACAAAGACTGAAACCTTGAGACATCACTTAGGAAACGCCAACAAGACCCCAGCTTTGCCGTCTCCGTCACACAACTTTTCTTCCCTACTCACTACATGCTTGAGACGCTGGCATGTAGAGACCAGGTCTCTGCTCTGTTCGGGTGAGACCAACAGCCTGCTTGTGCCCGTCACTCACCTCGTGCAAAGGTGACCCTAAACACCGCAGGTGGACGCGGCTGGGGTTTGCACACAAAGAGGTGACCCACCAGTTTGCAAAAGCTGAAACCAAACGTGGAGCCGTGCACCACCAGTTCTACGCAGGCATCTGTAGGGCTGGGCCCACGAAAGCCACCTATCGGTGGAGCGCTTGAGGCTTTATTTTGCGAGCCACGCATGCAGAGCCTGGATCAGACTGAGCCTTTGCTTAGGCTCAGTCAGACTGCCAAGCATTAATTGAACCACAGCACTTCATTTCCTGTGGCAGCACCGCAAGGCTTCGAACAGACATTCCACTCTCGAGCCTGCTGGGACTTCTCCAAAACTTCGCCGATCCTTCTATCGCCCAGATCGGTTCCCATTCCCCTGACAGCGAAAAGGGGCAATGATCTCATCGGCCAACGGCCATGCGGCGGCCTGGTTGAGAAGCTTGCTGGCTTGAGACATGCCCTCGTCTTCTGCTGGCAACTCCTCGTCCTGTCAAACAAACCGTAAGCTCACAAGCTGAATCGTTACAAGCGGCAAGTACTTGCGTACGTGCGTGAAGCATGAGTGGATGACTTGTTGTTTCATGTTCTTTGTATATGTACGGCTAGAGTGATTAGTTCACTTCATTGTTCCATCCTATGTGTATCATGTCGGGTATCGACACGTCTATTTATGATTCTAGGAGGTCATCTGCATTATGATTGCGTGTGAGTGCTCTGAATATCTTGCCATACTTTGTGCTGCTGAAAGGTTCGCTGAATAAGCCACGAGCTGAAATCAGTTCATACATGTTGCATTTATGAGCTTGTAAACTAATGAAAACTATGAGCGTTGTATGATTGTCTATCCGAATGTCCGCCGACATTGCTCGGCGTGTCGGACACCTAAGAGAGGATAGAGGATAACCCCCCCCCCCCCCGACGTCTGGTACGTGGGGGCCCCCCCCCGCGCGGCAATTTGATGACGTTCCACTAAACGTAGTCTTCGGGGAGCCGGTGTCGCAAAACAGGGGTCCCAGGCTCGATTCCCCCTGCCGGCTCTTTGCTGGTTTGGGGTTCCTGCCTCCTTTTGCAGAAAATCTGGAAAAACTCTGTGTTTTTGGACGTCCTAATTGTGAAAACGCTGGAAAACCGTGTTTTTTTGCTGGAAATATTGGGGAGCAGAGGGGAAATGCAAGGAAGTGCAAGTGAAATGAGGGGAGGAAATAGGAAGTCGACATGACAGGAAAGCAGCGGGACATGAAAGGGAAACAAAGGGGAACTGAAAGGGACATGCAAGGGACAGAAATGAAAACAAGGGGAGTGCAGGGGGAAGGAGAGGAAACAAAGCACAAGGAAACCAAGCACGACGGGAGATGTAGGGAAATGACTCGCAACGAAAGAACGGGACATACATGGCAAATGAAGCGGACATACCGAGAAAATGTCAGGGACATGAAGGGGGGGCTGAATGGCATGGAAGGGACAGGACCAGGACATCATGGGAAACGTGACAAGGACATGAAGGGGGAAAGCCAGTAGTGAGATGACAGTTCAGGGTCATGCAGGGGCAGTGCCCGGACATCGAGGCAACTCGGGGGGGGACGTGACGCTGCAATGCAGAGAGAGAGAGAGACAGAGAGAGAGAGAGAGAGAGAGAGAGAGAGAGAGAGAGAGAGGGAGAGAGCGGGAGAGAGACAGAGAGAGAGACAGAAGAGAGAGAGAGAGAGACAGAGCCACAGACAGAGCCAGAATCAGAGAAACAGAGAAAGAGACAGACAGAGAGAGAGACAGCGAGAGAGAGAAAGACGGAGACTGAGAAAGAGAGACACAGAAAGACAGAGAGAGAGAGAGAGAGAGAAAGAGAAAGAGAAAGAGAAAGAGCGAGAAAGTGAGAGAGTAGAGAGGTTCGAATTAGGGTGCCCTTTTTCTGTAGAGGGGCGTGGACAGGAAGGAGACAGGGAGACAGAAAGAGACAGAGAAACAGAGACAGCGAGAGAGAGAGAGTGGGAGATTGAGGAGAGAGAGGCTTGGGGGGATGGGGAGAATGGGGAGCAGAGGGAGGGAGAGAGGACGACAGAACGCACGAGGGAGACAAGGGAGAGGGAAGAAGGAGAAAAGGGAGAGGACAATGTCGGCGGACTGAGCCGGAGGCTCTAAAGTCATGATAGCATGTAAGCAGTCATCTGTTGTCTTGCCCATCACCTTCTTATCCTGTGTATTAATTTGATATAGGTGTCGATCTTTAAAAAAAATGCAACTTGGCATTGGCATGTCTTCGTCCCATCTATTTCCCCGAATCACCATGTCTATATCTCGCCTTGTCGTGGCAACCCTGAAGCTCTGCACTTCGCCTAAAAGAAAATGACCGGCCTCATCAATCACTCGCGTGTAGTGCACGCGCCATCTCACCCCATCACCGATAGGCCTTGATGCCTTGCCATTTCAGTTCCGAATGGACGAATTGCAGCTGGCAAGTCCCACCTGCGTGTGTACTGGCAGCCACCACCTCCAAAGTCCGACAGGAAACCAACCATTCTGGTTGCAAAGCCACGTGTCTTTAACGAATTGACGCCGAGGCATCAGCAGGCAGGAGTTTTGCCCGAAGACCTGCTCCCAGTTCCTGCCAGTCCCGCATTCCGCAAAGCTGCCGGGCCACACATTCATCCATACCCCACCAAGATTGCGAGCCCCAATCGCAAAAAGCCTCCGGCGCCCAATGTCGAACTTGCTTTTCGCACCCTCCTGGCATATCTGTCGAGTGTGCCCCCATGGGCTCCAGGCAGTCGCCTCCCGATCAAGGTTCTCGATCGTGGTGTAATTCTCCAACACCAGCTTCATGTGAAACCTGGGGAAAATACTTGGTCAACTGGCAAAGCCTCGTGTGGGCAGGCTGCCAAGTTCGGATCCATCTGAGAATCTGTCCCCTTCCTTTGGATGTAATCTAAACAAATGCAAATGACATGATTCGAGTGTTTTTTGTGATATCGCTTCGCTCTTTGCTAGATGCTTTGCTTTGCCCTCTAGCGCCGTTAGCTCTTGCCTGTTTTCTGATCCTGCCTTGCTTTTGGTTTTGCTCTTAGTCTTGCTTGCTTGCTTGCTTGCTTGCTTGCTTGCTTGCTTGCTTGCTGGCTTGCTTCCATGATTCCATGGTTGGGTGTCCAAGCTTGCGTGTGTTCCTGTTTTCGTCAATGCGTCAGTCCATGTGCCTGCCTTTCTTCAGGCTGCTTTCTTTTAGGCGCATAAACAGTGTGCTATGGAAGAGCTGCTTGCATGTGCCCAAAGCTGCTGACTATGTTTTTGCAGCTGCTGGAACAGTTCTTTTCTGTCTGGGGCTCGCACAGCACAACAATGCGGCTCGCCAACAGTTGTGCAAAAACGCGGCGCGCAATCAAACCAAGCAGCTTGATGAAGTTGGTCAATGTGCAAATTAAGAAGGCCGCCATAAGAAACCTGGCCAACATGCTGGTAGCATGTGGGAGGTAGCAATGAAAGCCCGGCAATCAAGCGGAAGTGCAACGATGTGACGATTTGTCGCACACCATGCGGCTCCTTGACACCAAAAAATACAACGCAGCGAGGGGCAGACCACCAAATCACACCAGCCACGTCAATATCCAGCATTTGCCTACATGGCAGGAAGTTTATGAGAGTAATCCATTCACAGAAACTAGTTTAGTGGCAAGCCGGGTTACCCCTCTTCTAAATGACATAAGGCAATGAATGCTGGCTGTGGCTCATGCTCTAAGAAACGCAAGCGATCTGTACCAAGGCAAGAATCGGAATAGCTCAGAAGAACTCTCAGAGTTCTCTGGCCAAAAGACCAAGCACCTGTGAAGCAGCTAAACTTGCATCACTTGGATCTGTCATAGCAGATGGGGTCATCTTTCAAAGGTCCTCTCAAATGGAGCTCGGGTGTGGATTTCATGATGTTCCGGCCACAGCTGCTTTGCAGCGCGGGGCTATCAATTTGCTTCTGCTCTAGAAAGAATGGCGTCTCTCACACTCAAGGCTACACGCCTGCGGCAATGGAACAGGGCATAGGCAAACGTTGGCATCGATTCATCAATGAAAGGGGTTGCGCTAGATACGGTGCTTCTAAGTCCATTTGTAACCCTTCCAACCTAACCTGCAGGGCTGACTGATCCTTCAATGTCGGCCAATCATGCTCATCACATCAATCAAAATCTACATTGATGCCAGGTGTTCTGCGATCATGCTGTGGGCAACAGGAAAATAAAGAGCCGGCGCATCTAGCATGCCAGCGCCTCAAACTACTATCCCCCGCAGAGGCTTGAAGCACTGCCAGAACCTGACATGGAGAGGAAAGCTGTAATTCTACTACAACTGCTGTGACCTCTGACTGTGCTGAAACGGTCCCGCCTTGGTATCATCCTCAGGGCCAAACATGCTGTTTTTGCATTGAGTCCCTCCCAGGTTGATCACTGTCTATCGTGCATCATTCCCGCAACGTCCTGCAATGCAACTTGTCCCAGCGCAATGGCCGCGCACCGCCGGACCACTTTGTCGCTGTCTTCCTTGCGCAGGTTTTCGGAAAAGACGTCCACAGCCCAGGTTAGAGGCTGGGCCGAGGGTTTGATCCACCAGCTCGAATGAATGGCTTGTCCACAGAGTTGCAGAAAGAAAAAAGCGTGGATGAATTTTTGCTAGACGCTCAGAATTTCACAGATATCCGCAATTTATGCATCCAGATGCTGATATCTACCCAGGAGTGCAGACCATTCGTGCAGCAACCTGGAGTAGAAAAAGACTCCACTCTATCTAGAAACCTGTATAGCACTCCTGGTCATGAAATACTCGCCCAAGCTCGTGCCCCAAGAAGGAAACTGGAAATGTGGGGAAAGAACGGTGCTCGTATCAGAATCAGCAAGCGGGACAAAGTTCAAAACCCATTGGCTCACATAGATGTTCAAAAACGGGCCAGTATGGGGCAAAAACTTAGATGGCATCCAAAATGTGTTGGATCTCCAGTGGCTGCAAAACCTGCTAGCATCAGCTCTCACACATCATAAAGGCTCCACCGCTCATCCCTGGTTGGACCATGGCTGCCTCATGTTTTCTTTCCGTAACTCCAAGCCACTGTCAGAATCTGAAACGAAATCTCAGTTCTGACCATCCCCTGAATTGGCTCTGTGAGCTTCACGGAACGGACTTACATATCACTTATCGTGAATCGTTGTGCAGAGCTGTGGCACCTCGCCTTGGCGTGGGATGGCCATGCCAATTTGAGTTGGAGCCCTTGCCAAGTGCATGAAACTCTGTCCTGGAGGCATCGCAGGAGCTGAGCTATCACTTCTTGGTCGCCGCGAGGTGCCAGCTGTCCAAGAGATTGCACCGCAGCCTGCCTAGCACAACATGAAGTATCAAGTTGGGCCAAACCCGTGTTGAGATCTGGGTCTGTGGCCTTACTTGCGCATCTTTGTCCAGCAAGGCAGTGCTGGCGGCTTTGACAGATCTTGGATCTCCTCGCAGAGTCACCTGCTTTGACGTCAGCTCGCAACTGCGCCAACTTGAGATTGCAAAGCGCAAAGGCATCCTCAACGCTTGACAAGTCCGCGGTTGTCACTCTGAGCACAACTGTCAACAGCCCTGCCTGTGGCAGGGACTCTATGGCAAATCTCCTGGTAAGCAACGACTAAGATCTCCCACGAGCCACGAGCAACATTCCCCAAAGAGCCGGAAAATTGGAGGGCCCAAGTGTTTTGCAATTGAAAGTTCTCGTATTCCCTGTGTGCTCCAACCAATTTCACCGTGTTGCAACGTCAAAGTTCCCTGAGTCCAATCACGTCTCAATCCCTGGCCTCGTTGCACCCACAGACAACTCCAACATGGTCGCAACGAACTGATCGTGGCCTACGCATCTGTGCTGTCCATGCAGCAGATCCAGCAGATCTGTCGTGCTGACTCACCCTTTGCGGTCCTATGCCTGCCACTTTGATCAAACCTTTGATGGCGGTTGCCTGGACGTCAGGCAACAGCTGCTGAAATCAAGCACTCAGCATCAAACTTGCTTCTAGGCCTTGGTAAATACATCACCGCGCTGTAGACTCTCACACAACAAGTCGATGACCTGCCGGTCACATCAGCCCTTGGATGAAACATGCCAAGTTGGCAAGGGAAGCATTCTGAAATTTGGCTCTTTTGGGCGCTGCAAGTTGCAAAAAGTCCTATTGAGCAACGCACGCCACGCAATGAACAAAGCTGATTCCCGTGAGCCCTCATGTGTGTGTGGGTGTGGGTGTGTGTTCTCAGTGGAGTGAAATTTAACCAATGAGATTGAGTGTCCTGATGTCATCTCCCTTCCTTTTCCAATACCTACAACTTCTTGTAGGCTCCAAGCAAGCAACAATATGCGAGAGCTTGCTGCAGCACGCAGCAAGCGTCAAGTTGCCCCATATTTCAGCTCGCCCAATGCCAGAACCCGAAATGCATGGCCACACTCTCAGCATCCCCACCTGCGTGTTGCCTTCTTCAGAAATGCAGGACAGCGCCTTCAATGCAATCCGTCGCACCTCGGGCAGAGCCGAATGGGGATTGCACGCTTCACCTCATACACGCCTCCCCACTATTGTCCTGCAAGCAGGCAGACACGGCTTCGATGGCTGCCTGACAGGAAATCAAGTTCTCTTGAAGAAAGGTGCTTGGGGCTTCTCTTGAGAGAGGCTGTCAGCCCAAAGCATGGCATGGCCTTCGACCCAGTTTCAGCTGCACGACTCAGGGTGTTGAGGGCTGCCTGCCTCAGCTCGAGCCAAGAGTCCAAGAGTCCAAAAGTCGCGAGTCAATGTCTCAAAGATCAAGTCCAATCCTCCCGCCTGACTGCGTCGCTGGGGTCAAACATGCGCTTGTAGATCAGCTCGTGGGAGATGACCACCATGACCTCTAAGCTGGAGCTGCCGTCGCTGTACTGGCTGAGCAACTTTTGGCCTGAATTCGCGCGCCAACACCGCAAGGAAAAGCACTTGGCCTGAAATGCCAAGAGCCGCCATACAGCAGACTTTTCGACCATGACCACCCCCGCGGCAACTTGGAGCAAGGCTGGCCATGATTTCTCCACCGCAGAGGAGCTTATGGCACTTCGGAGGCAGCTCCAGCAGGTCCGCAGTGGCATACTTCAGCTTCTGGCCCGGCTTCACCCCACAGAAACGCCCCCCCCCCAAAAAAAAAAAAAAACGGCGGCGGTGGGTCAAAAATAGGTACCCAAAATGAAACCCTGGTAAATGGAACCAAGGACTAAAACCTGGGGTCCCCTGGTGGTTTCATTTTGACCCATACCCAAATGTCGGAAGGGCAAAAAACTTTCTTGGAGATTTCCACGCGCCTTGACGGGAGCATCCTCGGAGACCTGCACTGCGCCAAGCCGCCTGCGGAGAATGGCAAACTCAGTCCGATGGCAACAGCCCTGCAGGCGCCAGCGGCTTGCCCAGTCCTGCCGCCGATGCTCCAGAGGCAAACCTCCAAGAGAGACATGGCTACCTCTAAGCGAGCATGGCTCAGCCTAAGTTGGGCCTGCAAGAATTGTTGGCTCTCGGGATCGAAGAACATGAAAGTAAAAGGGTTGTCGCTCATCTGCCAATCTGGTGCCCACCTTCTGTCAAGATGCACTTGAGCTGAAACAAAGCAGCATGGGCCAAGCGCTCACATTGACATGACTCTTGCCACCTAAAATAGGGGAATCCCGATTTCCCCTTTGGCTTCCCTTGCAACCAACCCCGAGGCGTACCTGAAAAGGCAAACCCACTTCACAGCATATGTGTGTGTGCCAAAGGTCAAGGCGCTGCAAGAACTCACATGACAGGTTGACGCTATTCCAAGGATTACCGTCTCGGGGTCTTCCCAACAGTAGATGCCAGTCATTCCTCGCATGGCACGGCTTGGTTGTTCGTTCTTTGCGAAAACCGGCGAATGCAGCCAAGAAACGGCTGTACATCTCTGGAATGGTAAAAATAACAACGATGATGAGACAGAAGTACCTTCGAGTGTGAGTAGTATCTAGCATTTGTTAAATCGAGCAGTGGGGTACACATACGAAAGAAGCTGGATAAAGAACTTCCTGTTGTAGAAGCCGACGCAGTTGTTGATCCAGGGGCAGTGGTGGTCCTTGAAAGACTGAATCTCACGACTTCCCCAAACCTCAGACCTCACAGCTACAAAATGTCATCATCCTACTGCAAGAATCCGTTGGCAACCCACAAGAATAAAGGGAAGGCATGATGAACTTGGTGGCTTTTTCCATTTCTGCACGTCATGAGCAACAAAAGGGCCCCAGCCATGTTTAGGACACAGCGGTTGCAGATGCCACCTGAGCGTACCAAAAAGCTAATGAGTCTTGTGCATGGCTGAGACGTTCAGGTGTTCAGCACGGGGCAATGGTGCGTCCGGTCAGGCTTCCAGACCTGCAAGCCAAACTCTTTGAACCTCTTGCAACGTGTCAAGCTGAGGCGTGCGTTGCACATCTTGCAGTACCTCCCAGGTCAACGTTTGCAACATGCATTGCTTGCTCCAATGCTTTGCCTTCTCCGCTTGGTCTCATCACCCATGTAGAAGCCCCAGTTCGGAGGCACAACACCCGGGTCAGTCATAACACACCTCACTATAAGTCCAATGTTCTAGCCAAACAAAGTGCATCTGAGAGCACGGCTGATAGAAGGACATCAACAGATTCGCAAACAGGACGTGGTACACGAAGAGAACCGCCACTGCGCCTGGTGCCTGCGATCTGTATGTGACCTTCGCCAAGGCAACCGGTTTGCGGTAAGCGATACGTTGGATTTGTTCGCCAGCGTACACCAAGGCTGCGTCGTATTGCACAGCGGTGAAACTGGCTTCACTGCATGCCTTTTCACGTTTGAGAGATGGCCTATGAACAAAGCTCGCGGATGAATCTAGACATGATTCTTGTCCAAAAAAAAAACATTGTCCACCTCCTCGAATACACGCTGCAACACTTTGGCTCAAGCTCTTGAAGCGATGCTGCCATCTACCGCTATTTCGCTGGTAGAAAAAGGTGTTGCACGTCTCATCGTGTTGCTGGTCTGGCACACCTGCAAGTGAATTGGGTGCAAAGCGAGACAAGTGCACTAGAGCAAAGCAGCACACTTGCAAACAATAGCTTCAGCTTGTCTGGCACCTGGCTGATAGAGGCGGTTGCCGCAGTGGGATCACCTTGCCTTTACCTTCAGCAACCATTGTAAGGATGAAAGTCGAAATGAAATGACTCAGGGCGCACGGGTGAAGTACTTCGAGGGCTCCGGAGTAGACCTGCGCCTGGCACGTGATGCATCGCGATTGACAAAGCTTCTGGAACTCCGTCGGCGGTGCCATTTTCTGGCAGAGTTGTGCATCTCCTCGGTAGCACCGTCTCCAACCAAAACACATTTCTATGGCCCCTTTGAACCAAGAAACTGATACTGCCGGAAAAAGAGCCGACCAGTCGACACAAGTTTGTGTTGAAGTCAAGTCGCCTGCGTGCGTTTCTCCAAAGAATTGCAGAGGTCCAAGTAACTGAAGTCCCTCGAGTCCTTGCTGGAGTCACAATAGGCCTGGCACAACGCGCAGTGGCCAAAGGAGTGGTCGAAAGCGCGCCTCCATCAACACCTGCAGGTGGCCCTCGTTCAGGCCCATCTGCAGCATGTCCATGATCCGGAGGAACCTGGAGCTATTCCCCCACGCTTAGTGCCACAGCCAGCCTCACACCTTTTTTTTGTTCAAGCTCGGCGGGCGCGCTGGCTCCGAGTCACGCGGGAGCTGCGAAGCCGATCGAAATCCAAAAAGTGGGACTTCACCTATGTGCCAAAGATACATCTCAGGGACGCCTTCGCACTTGACGCATTTCACGCATTGGCTTAGCATGTCACGTTGATGGTCCACTGCTCGGCTCTTCGAGCGATCCACATCCTGAGATCCATGCGCGCACCAAGCCAAACGCTGAGGCCGGCGACTGAGGGCCGGTGCTCTGCTTCTGCGAGCAACTCCTGCCAAGGCACAGGAGTACCCAAACAAATCTAAGCTAGTGTGAGCTGAACAGCTTCCAAGGCAGAATTTGGCAACCAAATGTTCAGCGGGTCGAGTTCAAAACCTCCAAATTGTCAAGCTGCATGATGTCCGATTGGCATGTTGGCCGTGGATCCTTTTCACATGGCCCAATCAATATGCTGCTCGTGAAGTTCAGGTCCTCTGCATCGGGCTGCAGCACATGTCGCTGGCGCACACGCCTAGGTGGGTCTACAAGTGCCAGACGCGAAACTCCACGAAGCTAAGTCCGCAACTCATGCCTCTTGAGATAAGGTGGTCCCTGCAAACTCTGTACTGCAAAACTGCAACTCGCAACACTTCTGAACAATCTATGTTAAAGCTTAACGTGTCAATCAGATGTTGCACATAAACAACTCTGCAACCTGGCTTTGTGCTTGCGGGTATGGGTTGGAGGGCATCTTTAACCTGCAACCACCCATCCTGCTCGATAGAGATCGGAGAAAGCGGCACTGCATCCATTGGAGCATCAAGCGGAACCTGGCAGTGCTATGGCTGTTTCAGTCTGAACATCTGCCCGCTTTTTGTGTGTAAACAGCGTGCGAAGCTATTGCTCGCAAAAAGCACCTCGATTGGTCCTGCCACACTAAGCTTTCTCTCTTACTCCCATGACAGACCTCCAGAATCATGTTGCAAAGCTCCCTGTAGTTGAACAGGCCTAGGCGCGGGCAGCCAAGAGCTGCGCACTGCAGGCGTCCAGTCGACAAGTGCTGCTTCCACTCAGCCAAGGCACCGGTGACAGCGAACATACGCTGCAGCATGTCCAGCTCCTGGAACAATTGCTGCTGGCCGAAACAGTCTGGTCCCAACATGGGCAGGCCACCCCGTGGCGGCTTTCAGAAGACAACACGATCAACACCAAAGGGTCAGCAAGCCTAGTTCTGAGATCCCTTTCGGCCACAGGGTCCTTGGAATCCAGCTCGATGCGGAGGATAGTGAATACCGTCCGCGCCTCAATCAGCGCCATGGTATGCATTCCATCGAGTCAACCACACTGAAGCTTTGAAGTGGGTAGGAATGGTGCATCAGCGACCAAAGACCAGCCACTGTCGTGGTGTGGCACCTTTTGTTCTGATGCTGGCTGATTGGTTGATGTTGGTGCTGACGCTGATCTTGTTTTGCGTTGCAATCTTCGGTTTCTCCTCGGCCTTTTGTTTCGTGAAAGTGTGGCTCTTGACTTCTGCCATGGAGTGGGGTCAAATGGCTTGCTGTGCGCGATAGGCATGGTATGAGAAATGGAATGACCCTTAGAAAACCATCCAACTGGCTTCCTTCTTTCCGGAAACCCAAAACTGCTCACTCCATTTCTCATGCCCCTATGGCCCCTATGGCACCTATGGCACCTATGGCACCTATGGCACCTATGGCACCTATGGCACCTATGGCACCGATCAGACGTCCCGCGCCTGGCCCATGGTCACGGCCCCGCGCCGGAGCCGGTCCACCTCCTGGAAGCAGCCGTGGAGCCGCAGGCGCCGGGCCGCCACCTCCGCCTGAGCGTGCTCGTTGGAGTGCTTTGGGGATCCGAGGGATGGGGGGTTAGGGGAAGGGTGAATTTCGGGTTTGCCAGAAAGGTTGGAGATTTTAGGGTTAGGGTTAGAATTTCGGGCTTGCCTGTTTGCCTGGGGTTTGAGGGATGAAGGGTGGCCTTGGATGCTTCGTGGTTTTGATGCGCTTCGTTGAGACCTGCCTTGAGCTTGGCAAGCAGCTCCGCTTCCAGTTGCTCCTGGTCCTGACATGGACGGGAGTAGATTCTGCGAATCCACGCGGAGTTACTGCCAATACTTCCATAAAGCCGTTTCACACTTGCTGTGCTTCATGCGAAATGAGTTGAGTATGCACAATTCCAGCGCCGAGCGGCAGCAAGAACAGAAAAGGATACCAGGGTGTAACATGTTGTATCTACCAACTGCGAGTATACGCTCAGTGCTCCAGACCCTGTCTCATGCTTTTGCCAATCAAGCATTGTCCGACACGATTGCAAAGCCCTTCAGCAACCCGCTTTCATCTTCAATCCGACATGCCACATGGTCATGGCTGGAACAAATTGCATCTATGCGCAGCACCAAAGTCATAAATCGAACTGAAAAATGGTGCGGCCGTGCCAAACAGAGATCCTTTCACAGTTACTGCATTAGTGCATAATTATCCCGACTTGATGCCTTTCTTTTATTCTGAAGTCAGCGGTCGCCATGCCATTCCGCTCGAAAACCAGGCACTTGGCACCGAGTCCGACATGCCCTCTCAACGTCCGCCAGTGTCCTGCGGCCCCTGCAGCCGCAAGCCACCCATGGGTGATTTCGCAGTGTATCTGGGACGCCTCGGGGTTAACAAATGGGGGTTGATCAACATTCCGTCTAGGACCCCCAGATTTGACCATGGGGAACTTTTCCCATGTTGGAAATGTCATATGTTTAGTGGTTTCCCTAATGGTCACCCTATGTAAAGGACTTTTAATCAACCAGAAAATCTTCAGACGGAGGTAATTCAAATCGCTCTTCGTCCCGTCGTGTCCCTCCGGCCTGGAGGATGTACTTCGAGCACTCGCCAAACTGCAAGCAGCGTTTCAAGGAAGCTATCGTTTTTGCCGGCAACCAAATGCCTCTCTGTCTCTTCCATAAGCGCAGTGAGTTCTCTGTCCATCGCCTCAGTTTGGCACTTTGTCGGATGTTGCAAGATTCAGAACACTAAGTTGCACACCATGTAGTTGATACCACCAGAGTCGCTGCTGTAGTACCGCTGAAGAATCAGGTTCAGCTCATTCTCCGAGATGTCCTGTGTATGTCAAAAGCACGGTTTAGAAACATTGGCAGCCCAGGGCCTGCACGAATGGAAAGTGGCTGTAGAATTGCGACTCTGTCACCTGGCCAAAACAACCCTGGATCGTGTCACCAACAAACGCAAAGGCAAAGGCCTTGCCAGCAAATCTAGGACATAGAAGCGAAGTATCCAAAGATCGCTCTGCATCCTCGCAAGAAACTTAACAACAGTTGATGCTACGTTGGTCATTGATGAGGCTTTGCAAAACACTTGTCTGATTCCAATGCAGTGTCCTGAAAGCATTTTGCGAAAATGACCTCAGCGCTTCAGTACCCTGCCCCGTCGCTTGGCAATGCTCAAACCAATGGGTTCCTTTCGGACCAAAGGCGCAACCTTCACTCCCTGGGGCCCCTCGCGCCGCGCGTCTTTACCAACAGCGCCAAGCGCCGCAGAGTCTGCTCCACCATTGCCTCGAGCTGTGCCGCGTATCTCGAACGAGTGGGCTCTTGCATCTGCAAGTATTGCACCAAGGGCCTACGGTAAGCTTGGGTATCTGGCATGTCCATCCGCACTGTGCCAGCTTTGCTATAAAGGACATTCAATGACGGCGAAAGATGTTTGCCAATTGACCGGGGTACATTTTGATGCAAAGGCAAGCCACTGTGCAGATTACATTGCAAGCATGTGAACCAGGTGATGCTGTGCCCTGGTGTCCTCCAACAAAAGACTTGGCCCTGAACATATTTGATGCCTTCTCTGCAGATGCCCACATCAACAAAGAGCGTGACACTTGCTTCAATGGCAATGGCCTTTCTCAATTTTGCAAAGCGCCACAACATGGTCGTCATCCGCTTACTTGTTGAAGCCATCTTCAGACCTGCCCCTAGCGTACGCCCATCCGCCTCGTCATCGCAGGGGTTGATGTCATCCCCGAGCTTGAGGCAGTGCCCGGGCCTTCGGGTCACGCGCCCGGGCCGAGGGAAAGGCGAATACGGAAGAGTTGAGGCGAGAGACGAGAGAGGGCAAATCTCTTGGCCGGGATTGAAACACCTTTTGTCGCAAAGAGGTACATATGTTCAGCACAACTGAAATTGAGGATTGGAAGAATCATCCTGCTTTTTGTCCTTGAGCCCGTCCGCAAGCTTGCCTTGATCTGATTTGTTCAAACTCACGAACTGAAACAAGGCAAATGCTTGTCATCTCAAGAACGCTTTGTGGGGAGAGCTGGACAGCTCCCTTGTCGTGATGATTGCAAAGGAACAAAAGGAAAGCAAACCGCTTTCCGTGTGGTTCACACTGTGCCCGAAACGGCCGGCCGCAAAACGACGCCTGGGCACTTTCGCCGACGGCTGCTTCTCAAGGTGGAAGGCCTCGTTTCAGGCATCGAACATTGGCTGCGGCTCCAGGGGTTCCGGCTCCCACATTACGCAATCAGATCCCCCGACACTTGCCTCAAACACTTCCCAAAAACGGCTCTGATGACCAAACAGCGCAGTCAATGTGCAGGTCCTCCTGTTCATCCAAATCTCTTGATGCCATATGTTCCAATTTTAGCGCAGCCGCTCCGAAGACTCCGTCCACTGCCCGAATGAACTCGAGGTGCCTCACCTGCACGCATAGCATGGTTGCCTTCCAACATGTTTGACCTACCCCAAGACCGGAATGGAATGATTCCAAGACCCCCCCAATGCTCCATGTTCGACCATTCCTTGGCTTATCGTCTCACCGGAGATGCTCTCCGCGCGCCTGTGGCATCATGACATCCATGTTGGGGTCCGAGAAGAACTCCTCGGCTTTGCATAGCTGGCGCTCGCGAGCCCAAGGCCGTGAGGCTGTGGCAGTCAAGGTCTTCATCTGCGCAGGTTTCAGTTGAGGCGCCTTAAAGCTGCAACGCGTTGCCAGGCTTCCTTTCGCCAACACTGGGCTCCCTGCCACACTGTTCAACCCTCGCACGAACTGGTTCGGGGTGCAACGACCACATCTAAGCGGATCGTAGTCCAAGAAGAAGTCCTCACGACAAAGGCGAGAACCTGCCAAGTAGAAAGTGCCACAGCCGGCCTTGGTGCGGATGCGGCGTGTGAAGATATACGCCTTAAGGAAGAGTCTGTAGAAAGCAAATCCACTCCCGCTCCGCCGCGCCTGAATCTCGCGGAGGATATCCTTGATCTCTTCCGGGTACTCCTGATCCGCTTGAAATTGCCATCTGTGGATATGGAATGATATGGATGTGTGTCTTCTTGTGCACGGAGTTCCGAAGAGAAACCAAAACGAAGCCGCGGCATTTCTTGAGACGACCCAAACGGCTGCATCCGCCCATCCTCAGGATCCGGAGCTGCAGGTGCTGGAGTACCCTTTCGCGTCGAGCGATTCCGGAGAGTCCGAGCTCTACTTGAGTGTCTTTTTTGAGGGTATCCCTTTTGTTGTGGCTTCACAAAGCGACCAAAAGGAAAACCCACCATTCAATTTGTGGGCCACCCTATTTTGACACATACCCACAGGCGTCTCTTTCGGGGTATGGCTTTGAATTTAACTGGGGAACCAGTGTTTGATACCTAAATCATGTCCACCAACGGATCGCCAATTCAGATTCATATCGTATTCATACCCAGATGGCTCATGGTCCTTGTTGGGCGCTTCAAACCCAAGGAAGAATACATGTTGTATGGCTTTCGAGTTGAGAGACAAAGCCGCGTCTGCCTCCCACGCGTGCATCGGGCGGACACACAGCCCACCTGAGGCAAGCAAAAGCGAAGGGCTCTGACACAGACCCACGTGCTCCGGGATCGCCACGGGCGAAGCTGTACGTCATGCCTCTCCAAATGACAAGGCAGACCACAGAAGCAGGGGCAACCCGGCAACCCGCCTGCAGGTGGCTAAAGGATGCGAGTGGCTCAAATCGATATTGAAGTTTTAAGCTGACGTGTCAGTCGAAAATGGCAGGCTTAAGTGCTGCCTACACTGTCTAAAATCCACCTTGTTGCATTGCCATGCTCTCTTTGCCTGTGCTTACAAGTTTTCTGTCGCAGCAGTGTTTGCCACAATGTGAGACTGGCCCTCGCAAATGTTGCAGGACTTGAGTACGGCAGTTGCAGATATGGTTGGACCAAAGACAGGAGATGAACCTAGCCACCAGTTCGCTTTTCCCGCAGCACTCAAGAGAAACTGCAGGGAACACGGCATGCGCATGGAATGAGTGGAAGTCAAGTGAACTGTGAGCACTCGAGACTTGAGGCGCACCCAAAGCTTTGGAGCCCATGCCTCAAGCTTAGAGCGGCTTGGTTCCACTGGTGCTTCTGCCCGAAAACAAACAATGGCTTCGGGGTTGGTGAAAGCAATTGCCATCCATGACACCCAAAGGGCCAAGAATGAACAGCTTGCGCTCAAGCTCGAAAAAACTAGCGCAAATTCGGCCACACCATGGGGACTGTTTGAGCATGACTCTGAGCGCCGCACAATCAAAACGAACGCCGAATGTATACCTTGAATGTCATGGCACGTGCACTTCACAGTCCAAGCAAACAGTGCTGCTGTTAAGCTGAGGCTCATTGCTGACCTCACCATAGTGAGACAACCCATTTCTGCCGCCAGGATGCTGAGAATGATCATGAGAACTATTGCAACGAATCCCATGCCTCAGCAGAAGAAGCAAATGGCAAGGAGAACAAAACCCCAATTCAGAAGACGGGAGGGGCGAGTCCCCAAGGCACCGCACCATAGAGGCGCTGCTCCGTGAGAGGTCTGCTACGCTGCATTGCCTCGACATCAAGCCCCAGCGATCTCAACGCGCGCACCACGCCCTCAGCTCCCGGCAGCACAGAGCTCAGACCGGCGGCATCCAAGGTTCACCTGCGTGCACACAAGCCTTGAGAAAAAGAAAAAGAAAGAAGAACAAAGCTTTCTCCAGCGGGAACCATTGCACGAGACTTCGATTGTTCAAACACTCATACTGGCACCTGTTGGTGTCCAAGGCGACAGCTTGTGCCCCAGCCCGGACGCAAGCCAAAACGGGTAGCGGCAAAGCGAATAGCGACCCTGTGTGCAATAATTCAAACCTACCTGTTCTGCACTCGCATGCTTCTCTCCTGCTTGACAGACAAGCACGCGCACACTTGCGCTCACAAGGAAGCTGAAACCCTGCATCTCACACAGGCGTCATCTGCGCGGAACCTTTGGCAAGGGAAGAACTGCATTGGGGTGGGATCCTGGGTAGGGCCAGCATGCGTTGACATTGGTTGCGGAGAGCTGGGCTGCGCTCCCCCCCCTGCCTAGCTAAGTGGCAGGCGATTACAACAATGAAGCCCTTCAACCGAACACAAGCAGCTTCGCAAAATAACCCGCTCGACAGGCTAACACTCATCGCGCTGACGGTGGTCAGTCATCGTCTTCGACGGGCACTTCAGAGATCAACACTGTCGAGAAGGGCGAGGCAATTTTGCGGGGCTGGCCGACGGTTGAAGCACATCCTCTTCGCTTGGAAAGGTTGGGCATGGCAGAGCACTCTGCTACAAGACAACCTTCATTTGGGCGATCTGCACGTGGTTATCACCGCTGTGACACATATTTCCTGGGATCAGTCCAAAGCATTTACGCGTAGCACTCAGATAATTGGACACAAATATCCCCAGGGAGGCCACTCTCCTCGTGTTTCAACCAGCCTACTTGAAGCCCAAGGTCATAGGCTTCCCTTGTAAGTCCCATGGATGTTAAGCGGGTCATAGGCTGGTCGCCGTAGGCCATCGTCAAAGCAAACGATGGCTCGCCAGTCTATCCGGCGCCCACGGAGTTAGCGTTCGACACGGCTGACCCTGCGTGTCTCCTTACGCTATCCCACATCACATGCGCTCAGAACATTGCCGCTTGCTTGCGCACAAAGGAAACGTCAAACTTCTGGGGTGGAACGGGGGCGGACGGCAGCTCATTCGTAAAGCCTCGCGAAGTCAGGCCGTGTTGTGGTTGTAGTTGCAAAAAACGACAAACCAGTTGTGCAGCTGCCGTACAAAGACACCTGAGAAACCTTGGTCTGGGCGAAATACCTCTTTGAAACTGGGTACGTCTTTAATTCGGAGTCCTTTCGTTCACACTGGCGTTCGAACGTATTGTTGAGTGATTGGGTCTCGCCGGTGCTGGATGGTGCTGATATTGAAGACACAAAACCAGAGCACCTATCCCCTTGTAGAAATGATGGCATACTTAGCCCTGTTGCTAGTTAAGCACAAAGATATTTAGAACTCTGGCTCCATATCTTCAACCAACGGTATCTAAAGAAAGGCGGTTCGAAGCGTTTTGAAGCATGTGTTTGATCAACAAAGCCCGTATTGAAGAACAAAAGCCAGGGTCATGTAATCGTTCGACATAAGTCCAAAAAAGCAAGAACGCTTTTCAGCGACGTATTCAGAAAGCGGATAAATGCTGGGATTTCGGGAAAATGCAAAATCATGCTCAATGCATCGAACATGCCAGCAATCTGAAGTGGGTTACCTATCTTTATTGTAGCATGCACATGCTCACAAGCACGTTCACCTCGTGCAAAGGTACGTATCATATATATAATGTATATGTATATATATATATATGTACATATGTTGTGTGAGAGAGTGTAGCGCAAGGTACAAGTATGGCGTTTCACTGCAGTGGTGTTGCCGCGAACGCCTGCCGTTCCTCTGAACTGTTCGGAATGGCTCTCAAGCTGAAGGCTTCTGATGACGCCGGCTTGGTGATACTCTGTACACTCTCAGTTCGATCAGCGTTTGCACGGAGTCAAGAGAGAACACAAGACCTCCAGGAGCATCATGCAGGTCCATCATGCAAAATTTGCAAGCCCAGCCTCTTACAGTCTTCAATTCTGCTTTGGCTCGACTCCTCCCACATTTTGCCATGCCACGGCTGACGCGTCTGATCTGGTTTGTGGCATCCGTTTCTTTCGCGCCCCATTATCCCGTCTCCCGTCCTGGCGCCCGGTGGAGATGGTAAAGGCCACCGGCTCGCTGCCGGAGCGCCTTGGGCCGCGCGGGAACCACTCACAGCTTCCCAGTCTCAGACCCTCAGACCCGGGCGGCCGGTGGCCTTGCCGGCCTCAAACATCGCAAACGACAGACCACAGCCATCTGGGTCGAAAAACATGGAACCTTTTGCGATGGTGCCGACTCTTTTCTTGGCGCCCCAAAACGAGATCCGTCCACAATTTGCCTCTGTTCACACATGCGCGATGGCTCCCCTTGGGCCGGTGCAAAGTCGCTCAGCTTCCAGCTCCTGCTGGGCCTCTCCAGAAAGGGCTTGTGAAATGAAAAAAGCCTTGCTGAAGAATGTGTGTGACGAAAACATGTGATGAATGTAATTTGCTCAGATTTCCAAAAAGAGGACATGGGAGGCCCAATTCCGTTGGCCGCTCCCTTTCCGCCTTGCGGCCCAGCTCGAGCTCACGGACCCGGCGCCGCCTTAGGTTTGCGTCAGGGCAGAAAAAAAAGAGCCCAGGATACAAACCGGGAAACAATCTGATTTCGGTTCGGACGATCTGACAAAGCCAGATTCATCCTTCTGACGGTTTGTCAAAAGTAGGGGCCCTTTTTGGTATCCCCTTGCAAAGGCGGCACGTATCGGCGGCACCAGGTCCCAAAAAAGGTCCGTATCGACGACTTTTCAAGGTCTCAGTCCCATGCTCAGCGCCAACGGCACGCTCCAGCTCCCCCTACGCTACACAGCCACCACCCAGCGGCTTTGGGTATTTCTCCGATTCATTCCCTGCCTCCAAGCGGAAGAGCTCATCTTTGCGAGCCTCCAGGCGAGTCACCTGCGAAACAAATGGGCAAGGCAACGAGAACGTCACTCCTTGCTCCAGCCTCGGCCATCTCGCCTTCCAGCTTCTCGCGCCTTGAGTTTAGCTCCTACCATCAGCCACATGCACGTCGTATCGTTCACAGGCTCAAGAGTTTCGAGGTGTCATAAGGGAAAGGTATCAAACATCTAAGTCCAAGTTCTTGGCTTTCAGCCCGAGTTTCTTCTCAAAATGATCTTTCCTTTCTCGTTTTCCGTGTCCTCCTCCTTCTTGGCTACCTCTTCCCGCCGCTGCGCCGCCACTCGGCGCTGCTCCTGGAGCTTCCGACGCGCACGCGAGCCGCGAAGGTGCGAAGGCGCCTCCAGCTGCGGTTTTCGGCTCTGCTGGGCTTCAAGAGAGCTGGAGATCTTCCCCCAGGACTGCTGCACCTAACGGGCGAAAAAACGAAGAAGAAAACGAATAACAATTACTTCACTTTGAGCAATCCCCTCCCTCCACACTCACGAGCTTACGACCGTGAACAAGGTTGTGTGAATTCAAGCATGGTTTTCAAGCGGCTTGGGGGCTATGACTGCTCAACAAGCTTTGCATGCAGAGCCTTATCCACCTGTCTGCGAGCCGATCTCGCGAACTCAAACATCGGTTCCGTTAACGAAAGCCAAGCCCTGTCCAAAAAGAAACC